AACTTTTAGAACAAAACAGAGGAAAAAAATACTCAAATCTTAGGACTAGCCAAAGAGTTATTAAAATTAACACGGGAAGCAGAAGCCATTTAGGAAAAAAAAAAAAAAATGGTAAGTTGTATATTATCAAATTAAAAAACTTTTGTTTTGTGAAAGACGCTATGAAGAGCATGGAAAACATAAGCTACAGATTGAGAAAAAATATTTTCAAACTATATATCCACTAAGAGTATTTATTTACTTATTTATTTATTTATTTATTTAAGACTAGGATTCACTCACTCTGTTGCCCAGGCTGGAGTATGTCACCATCACAGCTCACTGCAGCCTCAGCCTTCCAGACTCAAGCCTCAGCCTCACGAGTAGGTGGGACTACAAGCCTGTACCACCACGGCCAGCTAATTTTTGTATTTTTTGTACAGACAGGGTTTCCCCATGCTGACCTCCAACTCCTGAGCTCAGGCAATCGAACTCCTGACTGAGCTTCCCAAGGTGCAAGGATTACTAGCTTGAGCCACTGTACCCAGCCCAATATTTAGAATATAAAAAGAACTCTCTAATTTCAACAATGAAAAACAAAAACCAGCAAAAGACCTGAACAGATATCAAAGAGCATATATGGCAAATAAACACAGGGAAAGATGTTCAACATTATTAGTCAATAAGGAAACAAATTAAAAGCACAATGAAATAACACTACACACCTACAAAAATGGCTAAAATAAAATTTACTGACCAAAAAATGATGGTGAAGATATAGTGACCAGATCATGGCTACATTGCTGGTGAAAATGTAAAATGGTGCAGCCACTTTAGAAAACTGGCAGTTTGTTAAAAAGCTAAACATGCAACTACCCTATGACCTTGCCATTGTACTCCTAGGCACTTATCACAGAGAAATGGATACTTTATGTTCACATAAAAACCTGGATGAGAGTGTCCATAGCAGCTTTATTCATAACAGCCCAAACTAGAAACAACTTACATGAACTTCCACGGATGAACAGTAAGATGGTCCATGGATACTAGGGAACACTACTTAGCAATAACAAGAAACAAACTTCTCTTGATACACACAATTTGGATGAATCTTTCGATAATTATGCTGAGTGGAAAAAGCCAATCTTAAAAGATTAAATGCTCTATGATCCATTTACATAATATTCTTGAAATGACAAAATCATAAACATGCAAATGACAAATTGGCCGGGCGCGGTGGCTCAAGCCTGTAATCCCAGCACTTTGGGAGGCCGAGACGGGCGGATCACGAGGTCAGGAGATCGAGACCATCCTGGCTAACACGGTGAAACCCCGTCTCTACTAAAAAATACAAAAAACTAGCCGGGTGCGGTGGCGGGCGCCTGTAGTCCCAGCTACTCGGGAGGCTGAGGCAGGAGAATGGCGTGAACCCGGGAGGCGGAGCTTGCAGTGAGCTGAGATCCGGCCACTGCACTCCAGCCTGGGCACAGAGCAAGACTCCGTCTCAAAAAAAAAAAAAAAAAAAAAAAAAAAAAGACAAAATCATAAACATATTTAGTTATTGCCAGGAGTTACGGACAGGATGGTAGTGGGGAGGAATTAGTGGGTGTGACCTTTTAGGGCAACATGAGAAATCCTTGTGGTGCGGAAAATGTATATTGTATACAAAATGTATATTGTATAATGTGTGACACAATGGTATTGTATCAATAAAGGAGCAGAATTGTAACCATTCTGAATCTTAACCGTGTCAATATCAGCAGTGGTATTGCACTATAGTTTTCCTAGAGTATTATAGGATGCTGAGGATACACAGGCTCTGTCTTGTTTCTTATAACTGCATGTGAATTTACAATTATTTTAAAATAAAAAAATTAAAATGCAATGCCTCTTCTGCCTGGCTCTTTCTCTTGCCTCTCATTTATTTGGAAACTAACTTCTGCGTTGTAAGAATGCCAATCAATAACATGGACAGGCCATGTGTAGGTACTTGGGCTGATAGCCCTAGCTAAGTGCCCAGATAACAGCCAGTATCAAGCAGTAGACTTATGAATGAGCAAGCCTACAGATGATTCCAGCCACCTGCTTTCCTGAGAGCTCCCTTGAGCTAATGCTGTGTGGAGCAAAGACCAGCTGTCCTTGGAAGCCCTCCCCAAAGTACAGATGTGTTTGAAAAATAAATGCTTGCTGCTGTTTTTAGCCACCAGTTTTAGGGTGGTTTATCACATAATAATAGGTAATTGAAAAAAAAGGGGGGGGGTTTGTCTATGAACATTCTACAGAAAAAGAAGAGAAGTGGCTTTTTCACTGAACCTTTGTGTTAAACAATAATGACCTTTTTTGAAGTATCATCAAATTGTACCTTTGAACAGTTCAAAACTGGCTTCATAGTCTCAATTAGTGAGGTTTTATTATCGCCACCATATGTTCAAATTAAAAATTTGGAATATCATTTGGTTAAAGATTTTTATGCCACTTATGGGTACAGAAGGCAATTTGGGGGATATAGTTTGGATACTAAAATGGAATGTTGGCCGGGCACGGTGGCTCATGCCTGTAATCCCAGCACTTTGGGAGGCCAAGGTGGGCTGATCACCTGAGTCCGGAGTTCAAGACCAGCCTGGCCAACATGGTGAAACACCATCTCTACTAAAAATACAAAAATTAGCCAGGCATGGTAGCAGGTGCCTGTAATCCCAGCTACTTGGGAGGCTGAGGCGGGAGAATCGCTTGAACCCAGAAGGCGGAGGTTACAGTGAGCCAAGATCGCACCATTGCACTCCAGCCTGGGGGACAAGAGCAAGACTTTGTCTCAAAAACTCATACAAGTTAGTATGAGTTTATTTGGGTGCAAAAGAAAATTTGAACTACCTGCCTAGTTTTTTCATAATACGCATTTTCCATAAACTTTTAAAGACCTCTCTCGTGTGTGGATATGTGTATGTGTGTGTGTGTGTATTCACTTCCTCTTGCAAATGAATCAGACTACATACAAACCTTCTCACATGTCACAAGGTGTTTTTATTCTGCTGTAATACTCTGTTGTGCTTAACATGAAGATACAAGAAGACCAGATACAAAATTAGGCTGGACATAGGCAGGTAGGCGTCAGTTTCCTTCGACCTTCCACTCGTCTTTCAAACAGTTCATCTAACATTTGCTAGTAGCCCTCTTATCTAGTTTAGACTTTTTTCACCTGGGAATTTCTGGCTTAGCTGGTCAGGGACCATATTTTCGCTGGTTCTTCCAATATCCCCTTGAATCATTACTCTTCCCTTTTTGATTCATACTTACCAAGACTGTAAGAAAGTTTCCTGAGTTTTGATACTTTCCATTTTTATGACTAGAAATAAAACTAGCCCAATAAATGTTTAAATTACTTTTTCTTCAGTTTGACTTTTGTTTCTTTTCCAGAAAATTCTACCACCATTTTCTCCCTTCCCTTCTTTCACACTGAGACACTTCTACATTGCCTGTTTTTGTGCCACCTCTGTGTCATATAGGACATGCTATGGAAGAGGCATTTTCTTTTGAGTCAGCCCAACTGAATTTTGAATACTTGCTTCCCCTCTAACTAGATATGCAATCTAGGGCAAATAGTTTAAATTCCTTAAGTCCTGTCATTTGTAAAATGGTAATAATAATGGCCTATGATAGAATTAATTGAGGTATCCTTAGCTTGTTTTCCTTTTGCTCTAATTCTGAAACTCAACATTTTAATGAGTGGTGTTGTTTGGGTTGGATTAGGAACAGTCCCCAATTAAGGGAGAGGCTGACTAGGCATTTTGGAGGTCAAGCTGTGCAAGAAGACCAGAAAGAACAAAGCTGAGAGGTCCCTTGAGCCTGGTGCCTTTAGAGGCCTGAAGAAGAACAGATCTCACACTTTTTCTTTTGCTTGTATTTAGAACTCTGTTGGGAGAAAGATAAAGGTTAGGGGGATGGAAAATTCTAACAATTGGAGAAAGGACAGCTGTAAGGAGAGGGAGGGAGAAGCAACTCTTCTAAAACATAAAAGGGTCTTAGGATATTTATGAAAAAATTGATAATTTCAAAAGACTCACAATCCCATTCTCTAACACAATCTATTTTTACTTTCCCACATCCTATATCTTGGATCTTGATAGACTCAATTCGTTGTTTTATGTGGTTTGCAATCTCAACAAAACAAAATTTGTGTTCTTTGACAAGCATAATGCATAATCCTGACTTCAATATTCCCTTTTAGTCAGAACCTACCTATTTAAGGTTATTTTCCATATTAACTATTAATTATCAAAATAAGTCTAGTTTGTGTTTGTCCTAGTGTTTCATAATTTTAGTTACAGAAACGATGCAGATAAAACTAATTTAACATGCGTCTTCCTGACTCTAGTACGTTGAAACTGGCCAGAAAAACCACATTTGCTCCCTACATAGGTAATAGAAATCCATCATTAGCCAAATTGCTGCATCCCTTTGGACTGGGTCTGTTAACAGAGGTTGGAGTAGCCATTGGCCGGCACACGACACTTTAGGCCAGCAGGGGGCGGGTAAGCTCCAGGGCACTCGCCCGAGCAGCAGGGGGCGTGGCTTCTGCTTCCTTGACTGACAGCTAAGGATGCTGGAGCGGATGAGGTAATAGGAGCCGGGGCAAGGAAGGCGTGGGGGTGCGCGCGCGTGTCTGCGACTGTGAGTGTGCCAGTGCGTGCGCAAGCCCCGAGACAATGCGTGTCTTCAGTTCGCGCTGCGGACACTGATCATGCTCCATTAAGGGGAAAAAAAAAAGAGAGAGAGAAAATTACATTTTGGGGAAGGAGGCTGCAAAGTTGCGGCTGGGCGACAGTGGTGGTCCCGGGGCCGTGACATGGCGGGTCGCTTCTCTGCATCAAGGAACCAGGGAAACACACGCGGGCGCGGGTTTGCCTTAGCGCCCCGCTTGGGAGGGGCAGTTCATTCTGGAAGGGACTGAGCAGAGCCACAGGGAGGGGGAGCTCTCCCCGCGGCGGCTACTGCAATTCGTGCGGTGAAGGGGTGGGGAGGGGAGGGGACCAGAGCGTGCCATTCCGAGCGCGGCAGTGCGGCGAGATCCCACCCCGGCGTCTGCAGAGCCCGAGGCGCAACTGGTGCGAGGGCTGGGTCCTCGCCTCCCCGTCAGCCCCAGCTCGCGGCCGCCGGGGCTCGGGCCGCGCGCCCGCCGAGTGGCTTTTGCAAGGCGGGGGCTTGTTTGCAGAGAGCTGGGAATTTGCATGAAGCGCCTCGACCCCACGGAGCAGCGGCAGCAGCGGCGGACCCCGGCGGCGGCGGCGGCGGCGGCGCGCGGTCCCAGCCCGGTGGCCCCGGTGTCCCGGCCCCGGTGGATGCACGGCTGGGGAGGAGCCCATGGGCCGGAGCTGAGGCTGTCCGGGGAGGGGGGGCGCAGGGCAGGGGGCGCGGTCGAGGCCCGGAGGCGGCGGCGCAGGAGGAAGCGGAGGAGGTCGGGCGCTCGGGCCTCAGCCCCGGGCTCGCCATGCTCCTGGCCTCGGCGGTGGTGGTCTGGGAATGGCTGAACGAGCACGGCCGCTGGCGTCCCTACAGCCCGGCGGTGAGCCACCACATTGAGGCGGTGGTCCGCGCCGGCCCCCGCGCGGGGGGCAGCGTGGTGCTGGGCCAGGTGGACAGCCGTCTCGCGCCCTACATCATCGACCTGCAGTCCATGAACCAGTTCCGCCAAGACACGGGTAAGCCAGCCGCCCCTACCCCTGCCCCGCTTGCTCCCACCTTCCCAACCTGCCAAGGTACCTCCCTCCCTGTGAACCCACCTTGGCCACCTAGTCGGCACCTCTGTGCAGTAGTGTCACCAAGAGGTGGTGGGAGGCGATTCACTCCCCTGGATTCTCGCAGAATCCTCTCTCCCCCTTAAACGTCCATGAAAGTAGTATTAGTGTTCTGGTTTTGCAAACCCAGCTTCAACCTAGTCGGTAAGAATCCACTCCCCCCCCCCTTTCTTCCCCCCCCCCCCCCCCTTTCCAGCACTTGGTGGCCCTAAGTCTTTCCATGTAGAAATTCTAGGGTTGCCCCAGACTACAGGCAATTCCAGCCCTTCGCAAAGGCGTCCTGCCCTCATCCCGTGGCGGCCGGCACCTCGGCTGACCTGACCCTCTTTTGCCTCAGGCACGCTGGGGCTTGCCACAGGTCCCCTCACCCCCGATCTCACTGCCTCTGCGTCTCCTGTGTGGGATGCCTCCCGGCAGCTGGGTCCTGGATGTGGGAACTGGGGGAGGAAGAAGGGTTTCCCCGGAGGTTCTCGCTGCAGTCGGGTAAGGGAAGCGCCGGGCTCCCTGGGAGGAGAGACTGGGGCTGGGGTACCCCGGACGCCGTGGCATTGGCGAATGCCTCTGCTACACACTACAAGCGCGGAAGCAACAGGCCGGAGCAGATGGAGAGAGGAGGGGGAGGCTCGGGGCTTCGGAATGCATGGTAGGGAAGCCGCTCCCTTTGTCTGTGGAGGAGGAGGAGGCAGATTCCTAAGGAGAAACTGTCCCCAGGCTTCCTCTTAAAACCATAACCCGTAAGGAACCCTTGGTCTCCTGGAGCGCCAAACTACTATCTTTTCATGAGAATCAAGTTGCCACTGTAGCCAGCACAAACCCGCTTCCCAGCTGACCTGCCTTTCCAGGTCAGAGCCAGGAAGGGAGCCTCCAGGATGGGGTCGTGGGGGGTGGGGAGTGAGGGTGCTGCCCGAGGGAGAGCAGAAGTCCCCCTCTTTGCTCGGTCCTTGCTTAATCGATGACCTGGGAAGAGTTTCCGTCTCCTTCGGTGACAGGTGGGGAGGGGGCCATTGTTTCTGGAATTCTGGCTCGGCTTTCCCAAGAGTGTAACGGAGGAGCCTGGAAAGGCCGGTGTGCTGGGGAGGAAGTAGAGAAGATGACTGAGAGGCCCTCCCCAGTGAACAGCTGTTTGAGCAGAGTCTCTCCGCTTCCTTGGAAAGCCCCCACATCCTGTGTGCTAATTAGGATTGTCATGGGAAAGGGGTATCTTTCCACCCTCATGTCCCCATCTTTAGTCATAACTCCCAGCAACCCCTTTGCCAAGGACTCTGCAGACACTGGCTGATTGAGGAGAGCTTTCTGGGGAGAGGATTCTGGAAGTATTAGAATCTAGAGGGGCTTAAACGGTGTGTGGAGCTGAGGGAGACTGGGAGGAGGAGAGAATAGAGAGGAATGTGGGGAGATTGAGAAAGAGGATTAAGTGTGGCTGAGGTAGGGGGAGAGAACATCATTGTGCAACTTGGGTAAAGGTTGTGGAGGTGAGGGTGGAGGCGTCAGGAGGTGAGGATGGAGGGGGTGTGTGTTGGGGGGAGCTGAGCCATGGAGGTGGAACCAGAGAGAGAGAGACCAGCAGTTAAAGCACCTGACAGGGGATTCCAGTCCCGGAAAAAAAAAAAAAAAAAAAAAAAAAAAAAAAAAAAAGCGGGTTTTAGCTTTTCTATTTCAGACTAAATCTCTGCAGCATTTGGAAAACCACCCTTGTGACAGAAAGGTCTCAGCCCCTTTCCCACATTTGGGAAGGGCAAAGGTGGAATCTGGGTTTGGTGGGACTTAGGATAGGCAAGGTATCTACAAAGGTTCATGACCCTTTCTACAGAAGTGAAGTTGTAGAGAAAACTGGGTGGAAGGAAAGAAGCTACGTGTCCCAGGTCTGATCACTCTTACCTGAAGACAGGTTGAGTACTGCCTGGTGATGGGCAATTTAGTCAGAGGATGGCGCTCCCTGGACTTTAAACCTCAGGCAGAGAACTTGCCCTGAATCATTTTAAAGGCTGCCCCAGGGTGTGTTTATCATCAGACTGCTGTGGTTTCATCCACTCATTGCTAGAGTCAGTCAGCCATCCTGAGTACCTCTCTCCTGTGTGCCAGGCCCTGTGCTGGGTGCTCAGACACTGGGCTGAATTCCCAGAAAAGCTGGGTCTGTCAGGGCGCTTGTCAAAGAAGAATAAAAGAATCTCTGGGTTTCTGAGCTCTGAGCCTCCTCCTCTCCCTTCTCCACCAACACACACATAGTTTCTCTCAATCTCATTGATGAGGCCATGACAGGGTAGGAACTTTAAACCAGTGGCTCCCAGGCAACCTCGGCCAAGCCCTTGCAATGTTTAATTAAATTACCCACCATCCTTAAGCCATAATTCAAAGCTGGGAACCAGAAACATCCCCACAAACAAAAGAGAGCTGGAAGTCCCCTGCCCAGAGGCGATTCCTCTCCTTTTTTGTTGCCTCCTCTATATGGGGGCATTTCCTGACATGAGAGCTTTGTCTTTTTAGAAGTTGCTTGCTCTGCTGCTGAGAGAGTCCTCGGTGTCTTTTTAGAAGTTGCTTGCTCTGCTGCTGAGAGAGTCCTCGGCTCTCCACTTGCCGGGGCTCCTGACCTCATCTAGCCTGTCTCCAGGGAGATGGCTGGGAGGTTGCAGACACCCGTCTGCCCGCCTCTGTTTGCCCTGGGCCCTTCTCCTTCCCCAGACCACCTAGGGGTCTGTTCTTATTTGCATTCTATGCCAGTCTCCTCTAGGCATTTTGGGCTAGAGAATCTGGAAGAAGGGAAGAGATGGGGTGAGATAGATGGGACTGGCTCTTGGCCATTTCCAAAAGCCTCGGTGAGGTCTTCTCCACCTGCCATCATTTACCTTGACTGGGTTGCCCTTTTCCTGTTGTAGGGCAGTGACTGAAGAACTTTACTTCACCGTCACTTCCCCCTGACCTTTCAACACACCTGATCCTACCAACTCCAGGGTTTCCGTAGCAGGATGAGGAAGACCCAGGCTGAGGGTGGGAGAAACAACTGTGGCCCTCATTCCAGGCTCACTGCTTACTCCGTGCCCCTGAGCAAGTCTCTAAATGGTCAGGCCTCATTTTTTTTCCTTTTTTTCTTTTTCTAGAATGAAGAGCAGCATTAAGATTTCTTTTTTCCGTCTTTTTCTTTCCTCCCATCATGCACGTCAACAGGTGAATGGGTTGGTCCCTGTGCCAGTGATGATACTGATAAGCACAGGGTGAAGGAGAGTTATTTCCAGCTCAGAGTTTCCTGTGCAAGTGTTGCCTTCTTTATGTCTTTTAAAGTGGTAAGAAGTGTCAGATGGAGAGAAAGCGGTTGGGTTGAATTAAATGATTTGACAGAAGCTGAGTTTTAGCCACCCCCCACAACGCCCCCTACCCTATGTTAGCATAGAAGTAGAGGAGGCAGGCATCCTGATGACCACATGATAGTTACAATGTGCAGGATGCACCGTGTGACTGCATCATGCCAAGCACATTGCACACACGATCTGGTTTAATCCTTACAACAGTCTTATGAAGAACCTATTATTATCCCCATTTTATAAGTAAGGAAACAAATTGAAAGTGATTAAGCTGCTCAAGGGTTTACAACTAGTCAATGGCAGGGCTGAGATTCTGAATGAGGTGCCCTATGTCCTATTTCTTCATTCAGTGAATAGTTATGGAGCAACTGTTTAGCGCAGGCACTGTTCCAGACATGTGGGATATAGCAATAATAGCGCATCCAAATGTTTCTTTGTCCTCGTGGAAAATTCTGGTGGGCGTAGGGGATGCTGGTAAGAGTGGCCTGAGACTTCTTGGACATAGTGCATGCCCTGTTGGCAGTGAGTCACTTACATAGATGTGTGTAACATGTCCCAGAGACCTCAGTGCATGCCTGGAAGGCGTTGCCTTCCACTTCCCAGAAGCTGAAAGATTTTGGGTGCTTTGTAACGCAGGTGGAAAATCAGTAAAAAACTGATTTTCTTTCTCCTTCTTCATCCTTAGTTGATGAACATCCTCAATCCCTATCCTACTGGAGCCCTTTTCCTTGCGTTACTTCACAGATTATCTGGTTTATAATCCTGATTCTAGAAAAGCTGAGAACCAGCACATCCAAAATAAGGGTCTCTGAAAATAATCAGAGAATAAAATCCCACCATGTCTATGGTCTCAACACTTTGGTTCTGAGGTCTGCATGTTATCTCTGACTCTCCTCTAGCATTGAATTGAACTCAACAACTTTCCCTCCAAAACCAGCTCTTCCTCTTGACATCCCTCTGACACCATTTTACCACTCTCCCATGGTCCAAGCCCAGGATTCTTTGACTCATTCTGTCATTTAGAATCTTATTTGGACACCTAATAGGTACAGGCACATAGACCCTGTAGCCCAGCAGCTGAAATTTGAGTGTACCTGTGCACCACTCAAGGTGGCCATTCACATGCAGATTCCCATACCCAGGCCCCAGGAGATACTGGCCTGTAGGTCTCAAGGGCATTGCTGATTCAATTCATACCCCTGGAGATTCTGATGGAGGCAATCCTCAAACCTCACTTGGAGAGCATTTAGCTACTGATGATCAAGTCTTACCCATTTTTTTCTCTGTAAAGTCTCTCCAGTTTGTCACCTTCGTTTCATTTTCTATGCCAACACCTTTCTACTCACCTGGAGCTAATGGACAGAGTAGCTCTGGTCTTGCCCCTCTTTTCTTAACAAACTTTACTGGCTCTTCATTGATTGCAAATTAAATCTATCATAGCCTGCCATTTCAGACTTTCCATACCCTCTCTGGCTCTAACATATCTTTCCAGGATTGTCTTCTTCTATGCCTTATATTTCCCTCCAATCTGCCAAACAGAGGCCACCTCTATCCTCCTGCATTCCTTTAGAGTTCTCTGACACCTTTCGCTCCACAACTAGCCTTGAGGTCCCTTCTTCTGAAACACTGTCCTTTGCCATTTTTACCTGTCAAAATTATTTTTGTTATATGAGCCCATGCCATTTGTTATTCATTTCTTAAAATGTTCTCCACAGCTTGAAATGCTTTCCAAACCATCGTTACTTCATTTATTGAATCACTATTTCGGGGTGTCTAGGACATGCAGGCATGGAGAATACCACTATGAGCACACGCCTTGATGCCCACTCTCATGGGATTGGGAGTCTAGTGAGGCGGACAGATGTTCATCAAATTAGACACATAAATACATATGTAACTGCACACTGAGATGAGCGCTATTAAATTTTTTAAAAGGAATGAGAATTTGACCTGGCCAGGACTGCCTAGGGGGCTTCCTTGAAGAAATGAGCTCTTCCTGTAGGAAGAGCTATGGAAAAGATGCCAGAGAGTTTTGGGGAGGAACCAGCATTGTGAAGAGGCCCAGAATCAGAGAAGCCTAGCAATGAGGAGAGATTGAAGGCCCGTGTAGCTGAAATGTGGGCAGAGTTAGGCTATGAGGGGGCCATGTATGTTGGTGGGTAGGGGGGATTTAGATTTCAACCTAATGGGAAGTCATGGAAGGGATTTATGCAGGGAGGGGACGTGGTTGATTTTCCTGCCAACATGCATTTTGTTGGCATTCTCCTTGTGAAGCGTTCTGCCTCATAAATAGTCATTCACACACTTGTCTTCCAACCCTGTTTTAGACTGAAAGCTACTTCAGGAATGCTTGAATCTGCATTCTCCATAGCAGTTAATGAGTACTCAGTGATATGTGATAAATGATTAAATATGAAAGTAGCCAGAAATCTTCAATCAGTCTCAGCAGTTTGTGGAGCCCTTGCAACTGCCAGACACTGCATTAGGCACTAAGAATGCAAAGAGCTCCACAGTGGCATTCCTGCCCCCGCTTAAGGCAGGCTGGTATGAAAAGTGTTGCTGAAACATTGCTGCACATCAGCATAGTCGAGCTACACAGCTCAGGCTTCCTGAGGGTGGAGCCTGGGCTGGGAGAACATTTTAAGAAATAGTTGGAGAATGGCTTAAGACCTGAATGGTAAGGAGAATTTTCAATAGGTAAAAATGGCAAAGGAGGCCATTTCAGTAGAAGGGACCTAGCGAATTGTGGGGAAGGGAGTCAGAGAGCTCTGGGGGAATGCACGAGGATAAAAGGGGCCTCTGTCAGGCAGGAATAGAAGAAAACACAGAGACTGAGGAAAACAAACCTAGAAAGGTATATTATAGGTCCATGGCGTAGCTTCCAGAAGTTCTGGGACAACTCTCAGGCATCGCCAGGATTGATAACGGTATTGTGTTAAAAAAAAAAAAAAAAAGAAAAAAAGTCTTTTAGGCACATCTGTGGGGGGATTAATTGCACCGTCCCTGCCACCCTGGAGAGAATATCAAATAGTGCCATTTAAACTCTCTAAACTTAAATTCTTCATTTGTGAAAGGTATTTCTAGGATTGCTGTGAAATTTACATGGGATATGTGAGGTGCTTTGTAAGTAATAAAGATTGTGCAAATACCAATTTGAGAGCAGCAGAACACAGCCAAATGACTAGGCAGATAGGGGCAGGTCTCCAGTGAAACCCTACCTTCAAGCCAAAAACAGCCTGAAGGCTGAAAGACTGGACTGCTGGTCCAGGATGAAACCCGCAACCCAGTGTGAGAACTTCTGTTCCTGTTTCCCTACCCTTTCCCAATTGATTCTTTCTGAATAATGTCTTTCAACCAATCAAATGTTGCCTTTTCCAGTACTACCTACAGCCTGCCCCTCCCCTATTCTGAGCCTATAAAAGCCCTGGACTCAGCCACATTGCAGGGACTTTCCCAATTTTGGGTAGGGGGACCACCCCTGGGTCCCCTCTCTGCTGAAAGCTGTTTCATCACTCAATAAAACTCCCCACCTTGCTCACTCTTCGATTGTCAGCATACCCTCATTCTTCTTGGGTGTGGGACAAGAACTTAGGAACTGGTGTGCAGCCAAACTTGGCCCAGGTGGGCAGAGTGAGCAGGGCATCTCCTGCCATCTCCTGCAGCAGGCTGTGTGGCCGAGTGACGCCTAGGCAGGGTGTTGCTGGCCAGAGGTCCCTGGCTTGCAAAGTGACTGAGAATAAAATCCTGTGTCAGTTATATAGAAACTTTCTCTCTCTTTCTTACACCCCCCTACCACCCTACACACACACACACACACACACACACACATATACACACACACACACCCTGAGCTAAACCTTCCCCATGGCTTCTCCATCCTGCTTAGACATATAATAGAAAATAAATTACAATAATAATCACCAACTTTCATTGAGCTCTTGCCATGGTGACAGGTGCTATTTTTGAGTTTTATATTCATTTCTTCATTTAATCCTCAAATCCACCCTTTGAAGTCGCTACCCGAGACCCAAACAGATGAGGAAACTGAGGCTTAATCACACAGCTGGAAGGGACAAAACCACCCCTGTTGGCTCCAAAGCCCATACTCTTTACCCCCAGCAAGCTGGGCACTTCGGAAGGAAATGGAGACAAACCAGGGAACTATTGCCTCCCCCTCCTCTGCTCCCCCATCCAGATACCCCCATGTTCCCCAGCAGAGGCCCTGGTGATGAATAGGGGATTGTTCTGCTTCTCCCTTGTGCCTCTGAATGTTGATGTTTGGGTCATTAAGGGGCTTGGAGTTGGGGTGGGGGGCGGGTTATGACCCTGGCAAAGGCCTGAATAGCCATTGTTTCTTTTCTTCCCTCCTTGAATGGGATTCTGTCCCCAGTCTTGGTATATCCCTCTGGGTTGGAGGAGGGGTGGGTCAGAGGCTGGTGAAGGGAGCCTTTTCTCACCACTTTGATGGATAGAGCTTAAGCTGACAGATGCAGAGATTCCAGCATCCCAGGGGCCCTCCCCAACCTCCCCACCATACCCTGAGCCAGGCATCTTTAACCTTAATGTTGATACCATGAAATGAGCCCTGGTTGAGAATGGGTCAGGATTCAGGTTTTGAGTGGGGAGAAAGAGGTTACAGTTATAGGTTCAGTTCCCTTGCAGTCCTGACAGTTCATATCTGCTGTACCATTACCGTGTAATAACCCTGACCTCTTCCTGGCCCCAAGTGAGACTGTCAAAATTAAGACAATCCTATCTTTAGGAGGGTTTGAGCTTCTTAAAGAAAGACATCAGATAAATATAAAATTATTCTCATGACCATTGAGAATGTTACTTTTGCTGCTGATATAAGACTTAATGTTGGGAAATATGAGAGAGTTTTCCCAACCTGATTTCCCATCTCCTCATAGTAACACACCATTTTTTTTTTTTTTTTTTGACAGCATTCATAAATGTATAGAGATCCAGCTCCCTCACAGCCACTTCTGGGCAGCCTTCCCGCATGGAGGCAGAGTCTTCCCTCAGTCCTCTAGGCTTCCACAGCCCTGTATTCTTTTCCTCATGACTCTTGGCACGAGAGCATTTAGAGGAACAGAGAATGAGCACCTACTGTCTGTCAAGGGCTTTACATGCCTTAGTGCATTCATAGGGTTCACATGAAATCCAGAACCTGGCATGTACTAATACATATTTGCTGGATAAATAAGTGAGTCATATTTAATTTGTACAAAAACTCTAGGAAGGAGTTATCCTGTTTCCCAGGAGGGAAAGGGAGGCTTAGAGGTTCTATAATAGCTAGTAAATGGAATGAATTTGGCTGCAAACCAAGTTGTCCCGACTACAAACCAGGAGGCAGTCTTTCTGCTACCTTACACTGCCACCCATATCCTTCATGTCATAACTCATCTGCTTCTACCCTGGTTGGACTGTAGACGTCTTAAAGGGAGAAATGAGTTTCATTCAAAGCTGGTACTTCAGGTAGTGTCATGCCCAGTACACAGTAGGACTTGTTTAATGTTTGCCATTATGGCAATGGCATGACTTGTTAATGCATGCTGACTCTGACCTCTCCCCTATCCCACCCTGGCAGGAACTCTCCGCCCAGTTCGCCGCAACTACTATGACCCCTCCTCAGCCCCTGGGAAGGGCGTGGTGTGGGAGTGGGAGAACGACAATGGCTCCTGGACGCCCTACGACATGGAAGTGGGCATCACCATCCAGCATGCCTATGAGAAGCAGCACCCCTGGATCGACCTCACTTCCATTGGCTTTAGCTACGTCATTGACTTCAACACCATGGGCCAGATCAACCGTCAGACCCAGCGCCAACGCCGCGTCCGCCGGCGCCTCGACCTCATCTACCCCATGGTCACGGGGACCTTGCCTAAGGCTCAGTCCTGGCCAGTCAGCTCTGGGCCAGCCACCTCGCCCCCCATGTCCCCCTGCTCCTGTCCCCAGTGTGTCTTGGTGATGAGTGTTAAGGCAGCCGTGGTCAATGGCAGCACTGGGCCCCTACAGCCACCAGTGACCCGCAAGAACTTGCCCCCTCCCGGAGTGGTCAAGCTGCCCCCACCACCAGGCTCTGGGGCCAAGCCACTGGACACCACAGGCACCATTCGAGGCCCGGTGAAGACCGCCCCATCACAGGTGATCCGGAGACAAGCATCCAGCGTGCCCACTGGGACAACCGTGGGCTCTCCTGCCAGCCCCCCAGGACCCAACGGCAAGACCGGAAGGGTGGCCCTGGCCACCTTGAATCGTAGCAACCTGCAGCGACTGGCCATTGCCCAGTCCCGGGTGCTGATCGCCTCTGGGTAGGTGCTTCCACAGCTGCCTCAGAGCATTTACTCACAGCAGAGATAGGCTACAGCAGATCGTCTGGATCAGAAGGAGGAGGGGCTGCCAAGACTTAAGCTTCTCCTCATCTTGTGCTGACCCCTGGCTGCAGGTGAAGGCAGCATGGTGTGGTGGATGAGGGAGGGTTTGATGCTCGGCCTCTGATCTGGACTCTGGTTGAGACTGGCTCTTACTAGTCATATGATTTAGGACCAGATCCCTAACATCATGGAGTCCTAACTTTCTCATCTATAAATACTGGCAGTAATACTCCTGTTAGGGTGGCTGTGAGGCTTAAAGAAGATTGTGGCCAGGCGTGGTGGCTCATACCTGTAATCCCAGCACTTTGGGAGGCTGAGGCTGGAGGATCGCTTGAGCCCAGGAGGTCAAGGCTGCAGTGAGCTGTGATCGTACCACTCCACTCCAGCTTGGGTGACAGAATGAGACCCTGTATCAAAAAAAAAAAAGAAAGAAAGAAAAAATAAGATTGTGCCTACTAAGCAATAATAGGCAACATTAATTGAACTCCCACTGTATTATAGTTTGGGATTTTATCATCTCATGTAATCCTTGCAACAACTCTATGAAGTAGGCAAGTAGGCATTATCCCATTTACAGGTGAAGACAGTAGATGTTCGCTTGTTCAAGGGTACACAGCTAATCATTGGCAGAGAATGGGATTCAGACTTTAGGACATCTGACACTAGAGCCCAGATTCTGACTCTGCTGTGCTCCTCTTCTACCAAGTACCTACCACAATGTCCAGCATTCAGTAGGGGCAACATGAAAGTTTCTTTCCTGTAGTCTATCTGGAAGCCAGAGAGGTGACTCCAAATTGAAATACTGGCCTCTTTTTAGTGACGACTTATTATGTGCCAGGCACTTCCCATACATTGTCTCAGTTATTTCTGTGACAACCTGTTGATGCCATAGGTCCTGTTTGTATTGCTTTTTATGTTCTTGATTTTCCTGATCATAAAATTGAAGTGACCCAGGTTCATGTGGTGGCTGCAAGCTTTGCCTGCCAGCCCCTGGTGTCTTAGCATCTCACAGCCACCCAGTCTTCCCTTCCTGTCTCCAGAGAGGCCTGGCTCTCCTTGTTGCCCCTGATCCCAGCTGATCAGGATGGTTTTCGATTGCATTGGGTGCTTAAGTCTGAAAGTCCAGGCCACCCTAAGAAGGTTGTTTTGATACTCGGCTGGGTCCCTGCACACTGAGGTTTGGTACTGGGAGGAGAAATGAAGGAGGGTACACCACAGAGTGGGAGGAGTGCTGGATTGGAAATCCAGAGGCCCAGCCCCTACTGCTACCGCTGTCACTGAGGTAAGCCACAGAATCTTTGCAAGATCCAGTGGCCTTACCTAGTCCATGGAGTTATCGTGAAAATCTCCACTAAGGGAGTTGGCCGTTGGCAGTGCGTTCTCTGACTCTGTGATCTAAGTGTTACGCACAGACATCCTGCTCAGAACTGATTTCCCAAGGAGAAACACAGAGCTCATGTTTTATGCAGTAGGGGTTGGAACCCAGGTTTTGGTCTCCTGATCCACTGTTCTTTTGGCTAAAGCCCAGCTCCTCATTGTACGCAAAGGCAGTTTATAAAAGGCAAAATGCTGGCGAGATGCATGAGATTTTCATGACTTCCCCTGAGATGGCAGAAGTGTTTGGGAGCAGGGAATGGATGGCTAAACCTTGCTACTGCTTAATTTCTCCCCAGTTTCACACAGCACCATCCTGGGGGCCTGTGCTGGATAAGAACACGTCCTCCAGAAACTAGGACTGTCTGGGCTCGAACCCAAGTGCCTTGCTGTGTCACTTGGGGCAAGATTTGCATCCCCTGTCTTCAGTTTCCTCACCCGTAAGATGGGATAGTAATAGTAACTTCCTTTTACAGTCGTCATGAGGATCAAATGACATGCTAAGTGTATAGACTTAGCACAGTACTTGACACATAATAAGAGTTCAGTCAGTATTGGCTGCTGTCATTGTGATTGCTGTTATTATTGTTAACAGGTATCCATGTAGTTGAAGTCAAAGCTAAGTAGAGTCTGACATCCCACCTTGTCTCTGGTGCCCTTGACAAATGCCAAGTGACTTCATGCCATCACTGAGGGAGAGGCACCCAGGTGGCTTTGAATCTTGATGAGGGAGTGGAGTCAGCAGCTTTATCTATCTTCTTTATTTCCTCTGCCCACTAATAGAATTGGGGCTAGAGAATGGGTGGAGGTCTGGGCAGCACAGTTTCAAATGGGCTAGAGAAACAAGTTGTTTTTTTTTTTCTCTACTCTGTTTTCCTGACGAGGGAGGCCCCCGCTTACTCCTCTCGATCTTCCAGTCCTTTGCTTTTCACCTCTTACCACCTCTCTCACCCCCACTCCCATCTTCTCCTCCAGCCTTTCTTGGCCATTTAATTAGCGTGTTTATTCCCTTTGTCTGGCATTGCCATCAACCTTCTGTCGCTGCAGGGCCCCTTTCCCCCTCCTCTCTCTGCCCATGACCTCTTCCAGCAACTTTCCCACGGAAAAAGGAAGACCAGGGAGGGCGGGAGGAGTGGGATGAAGAGAAAGGTTTGGGGGCAGGAACAAAAGATCCTGTGAATTATTCAGAGACAGAAGCAGGGGGTTTCTAAAGGGAAGCAAGAAGGGGGCTGTGCAGTGGAGGCAAGCGCCACCCCTCTAGCCCCCTCCTCTAGAGTTGAGGATTCTCTGTCTCCAGCTAGGCCTCAGTTGCCGTAGAGACAAGATCCTTGTCCCGCTGGAGGATTCCTGGGCTGGTGCATAACTCCGAGAAAAACACTGCTTCTCGTCATGGTGCCTGCAGAGATATCCTCCCTCCCTCAAAACTCCTTTCTCTGCCACCTTGCCAGCTCTCTTCTCTTGTCTTAGTTTTATGTTTTAGCGACAGAAACAAAACCTTGGACCCTGCATATCGGGGAACAGCCCAACTGAATGGGGGCAGAGAGTGTCTTCTGATTGGCCAAGAAGGGGTTAGGACAGACAGTTTGGGCTGATGGAGTTGCCTGAAGGATGTGAGATGCATGCCTGCCATTGGGTTACTGTTTTTCTAGGAGAACTCAGGCTTTTGTAGCTGGGGCCCCAACGGGGTGTGACCAGCTGGGACCTGATGGGCTGTTCTCCAAGGTTTAACCAGTAACAGTGGGGGAGGTAAGATCAGGTGTTGTCAACTTAACCGTCTCCAGTACTACCCAGCACTCAGGTTTCTGCTGGATACCCATGACCTCAAGAATCAGAATCAGAAAATTGGAACATTAGAGCAGCAAACGTCTTTCTTCAGCCCAATGCCCCTTTTATACTTGGGAGGTAAAAGCATAAACAAGCACCCAAACTTGCATAGGGCTCAGCTGTTTACACAGTTATTTGACCTAGTTCCTAAATCCTCACAGGGCCCCTGTGGGGCAGACATTTAGGATGCCCTGTTCCCAGCTGTGGTAACTCAGAGATGGTCAACAAAACGCAGAGAGGCTGTGTGGTTCTCCCAAAGGCAAAGCAGGTTAGTGCTGAGCAGGGCTAAAACAGACTCCCTGACGCCAGTGCAGAGCTCCTTCCATTACACCGTTCTGGATTTCACAAGCAAATATCCCCCCTTCTCCCCAGGCCCCTCCTTCCCAGAGCCCAGTGACAAGCCCACCTACCATGTCATTCCTCTCCTCAAGTGGCAGGGACATGTATCTCTCCCACCTATTGAACCCACAGTCTTCTTGTGTGTCCCAGGTGCGCATGCGGGCCCTTCCCTCCCTCTCTCCAGACCTTGCCCCTGAGTTCTTGAGCTGCCTGAGATGTGTGGTGTTCCGGGGATTGGATTATTTCCTGGTTCGCCAGATTGGGTGTGGAAACCTGCCAGTCCAGTTTATGGGAACAAAGGTGGCTTTTGTCACCCAGATCACAGCTACTTATCAGCTGGAGTGGGGGGTCTGGAGATGGCGAGGGAGAAGGCAGGTGCACGACTGAGCCCTGAGTGCTGCCCCCTGCTGGGGAGCTGGGAGCAGGACACAGGAAGCCAGGTCTTTTCCCCAGACCTCTCCGGAAAGAGCTAGAGGAGGAGAATCTGCCGTAAGTGGGGGACTCAGGGCTTGGGCGGCCACCTTGTTCTCAGATATTGAGGTGGGAAGTTGTCAACCAGTTTCCCTGGCATCTTCTAACCCAAGACCCTCACAGTTTTACAGATGAGGAAATTGAAGCTCAGAAAAGCTAACTACCTTAGCGAGAAACTCCCGTCAGGGATGGGACTTGAACCTGATTTTCCTGACTCCCCGTCCACCATACCATGCCTGGCCCTGGAGAGCAGGTCACAGAGTCCAGAAGCAAATCCATTCTTCTTTTCTTGGCCCAGTTGCCCTTGTTTTGTATTCAGCTTTCTCTTCCATCCTCCCATCCTGGTTTGATTTATCCTGGGGACAGTTTCAGAAGAAAAGTGGCTTTGGGTGGCCTGGTGAGACACAAACATTCCCATCCCCACATCTGTTCTTTCACATCCATCTCCCAGCATTGATGCACATGTCGTCATCCCTGGGAAGGGACACAGCCCCAGGCAGGCTCACAGTAGCTTAGAGCTGGGGAAGCACCTCCCTTACAGACATGAGGGGAAGAGACAGACCCCATTGCTTGGTGTGGAGGTCCCATTGCAGCTTTCCCCATTCCTAATGGTGGGTTTATTCATTACGCTCTCTGAGTTTCTGGTCTATGTTTGCAGTGTGGGATGTTACAAGGATTACATAAACACAAGAGCGCGGCATAGTAAATGGGCTCTGGTGCCAGATTTTCTGGCTTAGCTGTGTAATCTTACCAAGTTTCCTTAACCTCTCTGTGCCTCAATGTAGTTGTCTCTAAAATGGTGTTAATAAGTGCATCTCTTGCATAGGATGTTGGAAGGATTAGACAGGTTTGTATGCTGTGAGCAGTTGGAGTCAGTCTTGGGAGGAGGTGAACTCTGTGAATGTTGGCAACTATAACATGTGAGTGAAGAAGGGCCATGAGCTGTGTGTTCACTCCTGACCCTCAGCACTGGGAATAGCCAACAGCACAAAGTAGGGCTCAATAAATACTTTTTGGATGGATAAATCAATACACAGATATTCTTTTTTCCCTCCTCTTGCTTTCCCAGCACGATCCTGCCCCCACAGCAGAGCTGCTGGCTTCACAGCTGTCTGCCTCCTGGAGTCATCTGTGACCGGGTCCATGAGCCTCTCCAAGCCCAGCTGCAGGAGTGTGGGTGGCAGAAAGGATGGCGCAAGACCCAGCCCCATGTGTCCCATATTTTCGGAGTCAGCGCTGTAGGGGGTGGCGCCTTTCCCAGGCAGCTGCGCCATCTCCTCTCCAGCCTGGCTGGAGTTGCTGGGGAAAAGGATAGAAAGGGGAGGAGGCTTTGCCTCGTATTTATATATGTCTCAGGGAAAAGGAGACTTGACAGCTGTTCTAGCAGTGGTTCCAAATGTTTTGCTGGGGATTACTACATCTGCATCCTCTCAGGAGCTTTGGGAAATGCAACTTCTTGTGCTCCACAGGTGGATATTCTGGTCTAGATCTGGGACTCTGTCCTTCTAAAAGTGTCTTAGGTGACTTTTGTGAATACCCTGGTTTGAACTTGCTTCTTTGTGTTTTCATTCCTTCTACAAATATCAGTTGAATGCCTGCTAGTGTCTGGCTCTGAACAAAACAGACAAAGATATTTTGCCCTTGTAGAGCCTGGATTCTAGAAGGAGGCATAATAAGCAATAATTTCCTTTAAAGGATCCTAAGTAGAGCAGGAGTCCTGGCGTGGGATGCAGGGGTGGGTAGCAATATTCAATACGATGGTCTCAGGAACCTCACCTGGTAGGTAGGATTTAAGCCAGGACTGAAGGAGCTGTAGGAGGAAACTAAGCAGTTGTCTGGTGGAAGGGCATTTTGGGTACAGGGAACAGCATATGCAAAGGCTCTGAGGCAGGAATGCACCTGGCTCCTTGACAGCTGAGTGACATGAGAGGAAGCAAGATGAATAAGAGAAGCTGGGTGGCAGTGTTGGCAGATCGTGCCGGGCTCTGTAGGCCTTGTTAGGACTTTCGCTTTGACTCTGAGTGAACTGAGGAACATGGTTCTGAGGTTCTGAGTGGTGGAGTGACCCGGCCTGACTTAGGTTTTGAAGATGCCACTTCCTGCTGTCTGCTGTGTTATGCACTTACTGCATTTTATTAGAATAAATACTAGTCCATTTTGTTCCACACGTCAAAATGACATTGTATCTGCTCTTTCCTTTCACAGGGTCCCCACAGTCCCAGTGAAGAACCTAAATGGGTCCAGCCCTGTCAACCCTGCCTTGGCAGGTAAGAGAAACCCCAGGGTGCTCTAGGTTAAGGTAGAGAAATCAGAGTGATGAAATAGGTCATGAGCATTTGTGGGAAAAAAGGAGAGAATCTGGATATTAATGAAAGAAATGGTGATTCTAGGAGTTGCATGGGAAGGGTATGAAGAGTTTGGAGAAGAACTGATTACTGAAAGGAAAGCATGCAATTGAAGATAAGTGAGTGAATAAATAAGTTTCTGGGGAAAGTGCGGGTAGAGAATCCAGGAATTATGAGAACTTTCTCCTGGAGAGGAGGAGAGTAGGTTAATGGGGAAAGAGGAATTTGGGGAATGTTGAGAGCTAAGTCTCCAGTCCTTCCTCACCCATGCCCTGCCCCTTCCAGGAATCACTGGGATCCTCATGAGTGCAGCGGGGCTGCCTGTGTGTCTCACCAGGCCACCAAAGCTGGTCCTACACCCACCCCCCGTCAGCAAGAGTGAAATAAAATCCATCCCAGGGGTTTCCAACACAAGCCGCAAGACCACCAAAAAACAAGCCAAGAAAGGTACCAGCCTCTTGTCTCATGGGGTACTGAGAGTCAAAGACTTGGCTCTCAGCCCTGACTCTGCCTCCACCTCCAAGGGTCATAGCCACAGCTTCACCCTCTGTGCCTCAATTTCTGCATCTGCTGAGTGGGCCTAACCAGTAAACGTTGATGATTATACCAAAGCTGATTGCATGTGGATCATATGGAAACACCTTGAGAAATAAAAATATATAGTGCAAAAGTGTAGAAACAGAAAAATATAAGGTGTGGTACAAAGAAAATATGTTAGAAGAGAAAGATGACTTTGGCATTGGAACCAAAATAGACTGGAGTCAAATCGTACCTTTGTTTCTTGCAAGTTGTGTGACCACATGGAGCCCCTATTTTCTCATCTTTATAATGAAGTAAAAATAGTCACAACTGGTATAACTGGTATCCAGCAGGTATATCCTGGAATGCATCAATGACAGGATATAATCACTGTCCTGTGTCCCCCTAGAATGTACAGATGCTCAGAAATCCTCCTTTAGGAACCCCCTCCTACCTGCACACAATCCGGCAAGTAAGGGGTCAATATCTGTACCTTCCTAGCATTGCAGGACCCCAGCTTAGCTCTGTGGCTGGTCTTTCTGGTCACTGGCATTAGTTGTTAAATTTGACCATCTCCCCAAGCCCCAACCTTGCAAACTTGTGAAGTTTAAATTGGATCATATGTGTGTGGCACGTAGCCCAGGGCCTGGCAAGAAATAGGCTCTTAATTACTAGAGCTTAATTCTTACAAGAGAAGCAGGGCAGCCAGAGGAAAGGGCCTGCATCGAAGCTTTTGGCTGTTGCATGATCCACTTCCTCAAACCCTTGTCCCACTTTTCCAGTCTATCAAGATTTCCCTGCTTAAATGAGCTCAGTTGCCTTGCTCATAGTCTTATAGGAAATAACAGCATTTTACACTTTCCCACTCTTCCTGTTATTATTAATAGTGCATATCGGGCCCTTATCTGGCAGAGAGCTAAAGGGCATTACATCCATTTGCTCATTCAATTGTCTAAGCAACCCTTTGAGGTAGGTGCTATTGCTCATCCCCATTTCCTAGGTGAGAAAACAGAAGCTTAGAGAAATTAAGGGAGTGGCCCAAGGTGGCACTGATCATTTTTCAGGGTGTATCATCCCATCCTCTACCTTCAGGTTGGGCTACCTTTTAAGAGTCCAGTCCCCCCCAAAAAATCCCTAAATCATTGCAGCCCATCAGGATGCTTCCCAGAGGATCACCCTTCCCCTGTTGCAGGGCTGTGCCTGCTGGCGGTGACAGTGTCATCCACAGCCCGGAAAAATTGTTCTGGAGTTGTGGGTCGTAACTTCCTTGTTTCCCATAAAAATAATCTCACATTGACACCACATTATAAATTGAGACTATACTTAGCAAATTGTAAAATGAAGGTGGTAAGACTGCCTAACGTCTAACATGTAACCGTTTACAAAGTGCTGTTATCAAATCATTTGATTACAAGGAAGAGAAACCCACTCAAACCTTCTCAATTAAAAAAGTGGTTTTGTTGACAACAGGCAGAGAGATGTCAGAAAAGGGACTGCAAGAAGTAAAGCCTTCTCTTCAAACCATCTCACTTGCTTTTCCACAATCCATACTCTCTTCCATGTTCTTAACTTCCATTGCAGAAGGAATTCCTCCCCTTTTTGCTTTTAACTTGCCTAGTAACTTCCCCCTCTGTCATGCCTAGCGTGGCAAGGCTGTTTGATCTCTTACCTCTGCCTTGGTGACCCACTGAACCTCCTGTCTCTGCAGGTAAAACCCCAGAGGAAGTGCTAAAAAAATATCTGCAGAAAGTCCGGCACCCACCAGATGAGGTGAGTTCAGAGTTAGGAGAACGGGATTCACCTCTCCATCACCCACACGCATTTCCTCTGCCGTTGTCGGTTTCTACGGGATATGGCAGGGGCTTCATTCCAAGCTCTGATGGGTACAGAACTGGTCAGAGCTGACACTGAGGGTTCAAGGGCCATGGTCCGGAGCTGCAGCTGCACCTCAGTCTCTCCCGCCTCCCCCTTCGACCTAGTGCTGGTTGATTTTAAGCTACCTTAACATGGCAGTCTCAGTTTAAGAAAAGCAGTATGGTAAGCCACAAGAACTCACCTTAAAATGGGTTTGATACAGAACAGTGGTTCTCAAACAGAGACAATTTGGCCCCTGAGGGAACATTTGGCCATGTCTGGAGACATTTTTGATTGTCATTATTCTCGAGAGAGGAGATGTCACCAGCACCTTGTGAGTAGAGCAGAGCCAGGGATGGTGCTAACCGCCCTACAATGCCCAGGACAGTCCTCACAGCAAATAATTGTCCTCCCCAAAATGTAAATAGTTCTGAGGTTGAGAAACCCTGTTGGACATTTATTTAAATAGCAGTCCCTCTGGAACAGTTAAAACACAATTCCTTTACATTCCTTTACAGGTTCACCTCAAGTAAAGCTCGTCAGTGGGCTTGTCGACAGCATTTGTTTCCTCCATAAGCCATTGGAGGACAAAACAGAAGGACAGTGCATTGTCATGGCCCTCATGAGTATGATAATTTAGATGATGAGCCCAGGTTAATCAGTACCAGGAATTATTTCAGGACATTGTTGTGCAAAATAAGATAAAACGATGTTTAGATTCCAGAAAGCACATACACCCTGATTTGTGGACGTTTTAGAAGAGAAGTAGTAAGAGCTCATCTGACCTCTGAGATCATGTGGAAATCTCCCAGGCTGGGTGAGAGCTGATGGCCTCTCTGCTGTGTCTCCTCCCTCCCCCAGGACTGCACCATCTGTATGGAACGCCTCACGGCCCCCTCAGGTTACAAGGGCCCGCAGCCTACGGTAAAACCTGACCTGGTAGGGAAGCTGTCCAGATGCGGCCACATCTACCACATCTACTGCTTGGTTGCCATGTACAACAATGGAAACAAGGTCAGTGCCAGCCTGTGGGGCTCCTGCCACCCTTCACAATGGGCTATGGAGTAGCAAGATGGTGAAGGCCTTATAGGGCCCTTGCTCAAGTGATCTGGGAAGTCTTAGAGATTACCCCTAGGCAAGAGTGAGGATCTTGGCTGTTCTTAGCAGGATCAGTTCTTTACTAAATTATGGTGCTGGTAAGACCCGTCTTCACCTTCCCTTTTGGGCTGTGCTATCTAACTCTTCATCTTCAGTGTCAGGTCTAAGAGGTGGGTAGGTTTTTGTCCATGAGGGTTCTGAGGGGAGTGGCCCATTGTCATGGCCCATTGCTAGGTGAAGTGTGTTCCCATCAGTGAGAGAAAAGGAAGTTCTTATCACAGCTCTAGACCCTTGGTGAGTATTCATTCATACCATTGTAAATAGGTTTCCCAATCACCCTTTCTTCTCCAGGGATAGTGATTTTCAGCTACAATTTTCTTTGGACAGTTTCAAAATACCCTTGATTGGCCCTTCAAAGGTACTAAAGACTGTTGCTAAAGTACACCTGGTAATCCCTGCCCTAGCATCCCGCTGTTGGAAGAGGGGAAGGCTGTTTTGGATGCTTATTTTGACTATTATCTGACAATGCAATGGTATCTCCTCATTAGAGCTGATTCTTTGGAGTCTGGAAGGCTCCATAGGTGATGATTCTCTCCTTACAATGTCTGAGCATTTCCTAAGTCATTGCCTCATGTTCTTTCCTATACCCAAGATAACTTTTACTCCCCATCTCCATGAGTTTAAATACTACCTCTTTCTTCATGCCAAGCTTAGATTACATGAGAGTCTGAGATATCCCTGATAGCTCCCAACCTCTCACTAAGCAAGAAGTTTGTCTGGGTTTCAGAGTCTGTTCTATATGTCTGTTACTGTGGGAAAGAAGTAGAGGAAAGAGAGGTGGGAGACCTGAACTTGAATCCTGGCTTATTAGCTGAATGACCTTGGGCAAGGTTTTCCAATCTCTTTGAGATTTCATTTTCCATCTGGAAGATGGAGATTAAAACTATACCTACCTTATGGGGTGTTATGCTATTATTATTCAAATTGATATCACCTTTGTATTAAAGGCTGTAATTTTCTCCTTCATCTTCATGTAGCCTATTTGATTGAAGTTCTCGAAGCACTTTCTTGGTGTCCCTGAGAGACATGCTTCTAGCGGTGGGTGGTCGGTCATTGATGGGGGATGCAAATCTGGATCACTTGCTCACTTTCCCAACTCTGGGCTAAAAGATTTCATTGGGATCTTGCATTTCAAGAGGTTATTTTGGGCTTAAAGGGGTTCCTTAGCACATTTGTTCCCTATTTGATGTCTGTATTCAAGAAGAATATGGTAACTCTACTTTTATTTCCGTGGGGCTTTCAAAAATGTTTCTCAAGAGTCTATGCTTTATTCTCTTTTGCACTAATACTTTGAAGCTTGTGTTTTTATTTGATCAAACACATGAGAGAAAAGGGCCCAGGAAGAAGGGAGTGATTCACCCTAGGTCATGAAGCAAGTCAAGGCCAGAGCAGAGAGTGGGAGCCTGGCTTCAGAGAATAGTAACCCTGAATACGAGCTATTGCTTTAAGTGAGTAGACTGGAGAAGTCCCTAAATAGCTCAGCAGAGGATCCCTGTCTTCCTGAGGAGATGGGGATGTCCTGGCAAGCTTTCATTCCCAGCTGCACAGCAGCACATTTTACACACATCGCTCCCAGCCCATGCGCCTTCCTTCTCTTCACCCCTCCTTTTTGCGAGCCTGGGGATAGGATTTGGTGTCTAGGCCCTCCTCCAGGCAGCACCTCACCAGGCCCTGCAGTGAGACCATACATCCCTGCATCCAGAACTGCCTCTTCCCACTGATGGAGCCACTGAGTTGCAATGCAAAGCTGGGGGTTTAAACAGACCCCACCCCCTGACAAGCAGTAAGTCCTTTAATCTTGCTGTGCCTCGATTTTCCTCTCTATAAAAAGGGACTACTAATAATTTCTTCCAGGTCAATGTCAGAAGCTGAGGCCTAAATGAAACAAGAAATGTTAAACTCTCTTTATAGTATGATTTAAAGCACTATAATTACTGGCCTCATTCTCTCTTCTAGGTATTTGTGCAGACCTTACACTCTATCCTTCTAAGCAAATTCATAGCTATTCTTCAAGGACTGTTTTCTTAAAGTTATCCTCACTTACTCCAGCTCTTAGTGGCCAGTTTCTCTTTTCATAGCAGTAGTTTCCAAACCTGTATGAGCATCAGTCTTTCCACAGAAATTGCAAAAATGCTGATAACATTTAGATACACCACATGCTAAAAGCTTCCTATAGATTATCTCATTTAATTCTCTCAACAACCCAATGAGACAGATATTTTTTATCCTTCTCCTATAAGGGAAACTGAGACTCAGAGAAGTTAATTAATTTGTCCAAGGTCACACAGCAGGCAGATGGCAGAGCTAAGAATTACGTCTAGGCAGCTGGATTTTCGCATTCACAGCCTGAACCACTACGCTTTGCAGCTTCCCAGTTCTTACTCAGTGGACCTGATGTGGGGCCCACGCATCTGTATGATTAACAAGCTCCGTGGGTGATTCTGATGCTCAGGAACTGGGCAGTTGCTGCTCTCCAGGTCTTGCTGTCTGTTCCACCCATTTGGCACTGAGTAGCTGAATAATGACTCCCTGTGTCTGCTCCTGCCCTCGTGAGCTGGTCCCCTCCTCAGGGACAGGGGCTTCTCTTACATATCCCTCAGCGTGGAGCATGGCACCAGTTGTGGAATTTACCTCCTGTTACTTTGAAGAAAGCAGAAATAGCCTATGTGACTGGGCTGGGGGTGACAAACTAAGATCTATCACTCATTAGGGCACACTTTGTCCCCCTGGCCCTTTATCTCTGGTACCTTTTGGGACTGGGTGGGGAAGTTATTGCCAAAACTGTTTCCCAATCTGGCTCTTCTGGCCTTGGCCCCTCAGGATGGGAGTTTGCAGTGTCCAACCTGCAAGACCATTTATGGGGTGAAGACAGGCACCCAACCTCCGGGGAAGATGGAGTACCACCTCATCCCCCACTCCTTGCCTGGCCACCCAGACTGCAAAACCATCCGGATCATCTACAGCATCCCCCCTGGCATTCAGGTGAGCCTTTCCCTCAGCCCTTGGTTTTTGTTGTTCTACATGTTTGTAGGTAAAATGTTACATATGAAGAGTCTCCTTCCCACACTTGTCCCCCATCTACCCAGCCTCGCCCGCTGACACCACATCCCCCGACTTCATCACCATTGTTCTGACTTTCCTATGTATCCTTCCAGGATTCTTTGTGCACATGCAACAGAAAACTACATCCACCCCTCCCTTTTTTTTTTCACAAACAGTGCCATTTAGGCACATTGTTTGGCATCCTGCATTTTTCAGTTAACTATATAGTCTGTAGATCTTTCCACATCCGTATAGAGAGAGCTTCCTCGTTCTTGTGTCTGTGTAATCATCCATTGTATAAATGTACCACTATTTGCATTCAGCAGTCTCCATTTGATGGGCATATGGATTGTTGCCAGTCTTTGGCTACAACAAATAATGCTGGAATGAATAACCTTGTACACATGTGAATATATCTGTAGAATAATTTTCCAGAAGTGGAATTTCTTTGTCAAACGCTATTTGCACTTGTCATTTGATAGCTATACTTGGCTTTGATTTTGGTGGGCATTACTTTCCTCTTTTGATTCTTTGAAAGACGGTCCTGAAGAACAAATTTGAACACTATTCCTGCCAGTAAATGCAAATGTGGCACCTTCCTTTACACAATGAAGCTTTTTCTGAGTGTTCTGGGGCATTGACTGTATGCATTTCTTTAGCAAATATTAATTCCTCTTTTCCTCCCCCTAGTTTTCTTCTTCCATTTTGTCTTTTATTTAACAAACATGTGAGTGTGGACTATGGTCCAGACATGTTCTAGATATTGGAGAAGCAATGAGCAAAGTAGATGCAATCCTTGCTCCTTGAATCCCCTATTCTAATGGGGCCAGGAAGGCCATAAAGGAAACAAATGAATAAACAAGGTACTTCCAGATAGCGATCATCGATGTGGAGGAAATAAAACAGGAAGTTGTGATAGCCTGCAGAAGAAGTGAATAAATCGTGGTTCTTCCTGGAGGGGCTTACCAGCCAGTCAGGGAAGATAAATGTACATCACTAATAAAACCTCTGAGATGCAATGTAGACAAAGTGAGAACACAAGCCTTCAAAGTCCAATGGACTGGGTTCTACTTCCTGGCTGAGTCTTTATTAGCTGGTGCCTTTAGCCCAGGGGTTCCCAACCCTCAGGCCATAGAAGAGGCTGCACAGCAGGAGGTGAGTGGTGGGTGATCCAGTAATACCACTTGTGCTCTGCCTTCTCAGATAAGCGGCAGCCTTAGATTCTCATAGGAGCACAAACTCTATTGTGAACTGTACATGTGAGGGATCTAGGTTGCGCACTCCTTATGAGAATCTAATGCCTGATGATCTGTCACTGTCTCCCATCACCCCAGATGGGACCACCTAGTTGCAGGGAACAAGTTCAGGGCTCTCACTGATTCTTCATTATGGTGAGTTGTATAATTACTTTATTATATATTACAATGTAATAACAATAGAAAGAAAGTGCGCAATAAATGCAATGCTCTTACATTATCCCAAAACCATCCCCCACTATCCCGGTCCATGGAAAGGTTGTCTTCCACAAAACCAGTCCCTGGTGCCAAAATGGTTGGGGACCGCTGTTTTAGACAACAGGCCCTTGGCCTTTTGGAGCCTGATTTCTTCACCTGCACAGCCAGGAGCCCAACTGGCAGAGGTTTGGTGAGAATGGGAGATAACGTTTGCCTATGCGTATTGAAGGATGAGCACAGTGCCAAGGTGCTCCACACGTGGTTGTCAACATTATTTTAGGTCCTGCTTGTCATGGTAAAGAGGAGGGCTTATGTCTGTCTGTCTGGGAGGGTCAGAGGAGACTTTCTAGTGCAGGAATTCTCTACTTGAGTCTAGAAAGACATGAAGAAATGGAGGAGAATGTTTTTAGTGGGAGGAGGTAAGAGGGTTGTAGAGGAAAATTTTAAGTATCAAAGGACAAGAAGGAAGGGTTTAATTAAAAGACCAATTAAAAGACCACTGCCACAGTCCAGGCCCTAGGAATGGGGCTCGAACAAGGGAAGGCCAGGATAAGGAAGAGAAAGATAGGGTTGGATATGGGGTCAGGTGAGACTTCTCGAGTGTCTCAGAGGCAGTGAGTCAAGGTGATACAGACATGAATGAAAAAAACAGGACTTGGGAGAAACAGCCAATGATCTGGTGAGCAGTAGAACAGACCGAAGCTTGCAAAGACAAACCTGGGGCTACCATTTCCTCCAGGATTAAAGAGCAGAGAACCCACACTAGGGGATAGAGGTGGCGCACGCTGCCTTGACGGGTGCCGTGGTGGCTCCTCCTGGAAACCCCAAGCTCGTATCAAGAGAAATGCAGCTCTCCACTATCAGGATCTACATTCATCCCTCAGTGTAAGTAGCAGGACACTCAGTGCCGTGTCACTCAAGTTTCCAGGCACCACACAGGCATGCGCCTCTGTGAGGAGTCGAGACCTTCAAGCTCTGCATTCACTGCAGAGAACCATTCCCTTGGGGAGAAACTCTGGGTTGGGCTGAGGCAGAGTCGTGACTGCTCCACTTAGCAACGAGCTGGGAGGGCACAGCCGTGTTGGGTCAGTGCCAGGCAGGCGTCTGAGTTGGCCACACAAGCAACAGTCCCAGGCAGATCAGGAGCAGTCAGAGCCGTGGTTAGAATTGGCCTTTCAGTCGGGCAACTTGATTTAGAAACAGCCGGGGCCGTGGGAAGGTTGTAAATTTGTAGTGATTTCCTATGAATGTAAAATTCATAAATACTGCATTCTGCGTCTCCGAGAAGGCATTGTTGCTTCTTTCAGCTCACGGTGACCTCTCCCTTCTCTGAGACCCCATTGCATTTACTGTGTCAAACCATAGGTGATCTTGAATCAGGTTAACTATTTAAGAAAATGGAAAACCACAGAATTTCTTATCATTTTGGAATCATGGTCCATAATAAGAGAGAAAGAAAAATCTGGGGTTTTTTTCTTCCGGTTTTTCATTCATTTGTTCTTCCACACTCATTTATTCAGGCAGGACATATTTGCTGATCATGTACGTGACAGCATGGAAGTATCAGTTTTATACTGGTTGAATCTAGAAGGGATTTTTAAAGAGGATTTCATCCGTAAGGGGGTCAAGGATGCTCAGAAATCATAGACAAACCTTTGTATGGGGAGGGAGAGATTTGGTCATCGTTACCGGGAGAAAATTTGCCGCTTTTCATGAGCTTCTCAAAGGGGCCTGTGGACCCATTCTGGGCACTGATTAGGAAACCTGTTCTCACTCAATTGTTCTTCAGTTTTTTTCTCACCCAGTGGCCTGAGACTGCCTACTTAATAGGGTATTGGGTGGCAATAGCTGAAATGCTGTTAGATTTTTAGTCCTGACTATCCCAATTCCTATTGTTAAAGAAGAAAACAAACAAAAACCCATAAGGACAAAAGAGAAAATCCGCAAGAATCATTCAGAAAATTCTCTTGGCATGCCTCGTAGCTTGGAGGCACTTTCTTTATTCTGACTAGTTAAAAATCCAGAGTGTGCCTCAGGAAATCTGGGCTTCAGTTTTAGCAAAGCCGCTGATGTTACAGAAGCCACTTATCTTCTCTGCACTGCAGATTTCTTCTTTTGTAAGACAGTAGATGATGAAGATGATGGACAATGATGTTAAACATTTACTGAGCTCTTACTACTCATCAGGCACCGCTCACTTAACATTTATAACAGCCCCATAGGGGAAGGACTCTGCATCATTCCTGTTAGAGAGATGGGGAACAAAAGCCCCAAGAGAGGGTTCCAGCTAACACGGTGGGAGGTGGCAGCTCTGCATCCAAACCCAGGTCTAAGAACACAGAAACATGTGTTAAATGACCACTCACAGTGCTTTCCGGGTCTGTTCTCTCTTGAGGCGCTGTGGGAATTATTATTATCATTATTATTGAAATTATTCACAGCCTAACCCGCCTCTTATCAGAAATATTTTGAAAAATGCCATTTGCTTGCTTGCTTTCTGCTTTCAGGGACCAGAACACCCGAATCCTGGGAAGAGTTTCAGCGCCCGAGGCTTCCCACGACATTGTTACCTTCCGGACAGCGAGAAAGGGAGAAAAGTAAGACTGGAGGTTTCCACACAGAACTAGGTTTTAGAATAGATCGGGCAGTTTACTTCTATATCAAGGCCTAAAGTTTTACTTCTTACAATGCACAGACCAAAGGGAACTGTGTCTCTTTTAACTCTAGATGCACACAGTAGCAAGGTCAAGTTTGAGTCAACCATAGGTGGGGTGGCTACAATTCGAATTTTTTTTTTTTTTTGCAGGTTGGTGGGAGTGGGACATTTAGTTTGTGTATTAGCCTGTTCTCACGCTGCTAATAAAGATATAAATGAAACTGGGTAATTTATGAAGGAAAGAGGTTTAATTGACTCACAGTTCCATGTGGCAGGGAAGTCCTCACAATCGTGGCAGAAGATGAAAGGCAACTCTTACATGGTGGCAGTCAAGAGAGAATGAGGGCCAAGTGAAAGGGGAAACCCCTTATGAAACCATCAGATCTTGTGACACTTACTCACTACCACGAGAACAGTATGGCGGAAACCGCCCCCATGATTCAATTATCTCTCACTGGGTCCCTCCCACAGCGTGTGGGAATTATGGGAGCTACAATTCAAGATGAGGTTTGGGTGGGGTCACAGCCAGACCGTATCAGTTTGTTTCCTCTCTAGGGTATTACTGGCAATAATTTATCTATTTTAAGATCCTGTGTCCAGAGTCCTGCTGCTTAAAAGCTGGTCCTGGAACCAGCACCAGTGGCACCACATAGGAGCTTGATAGAAATGCAGAACCAGAAACCACTTCATCTTAACGAGATGCGTAGCTGATCTGACAACACCTTGAAGCTTGAGAAACACTGGTCTGGGATAGGGATCTTAATATGTAGATTATTTTCTTTTTATGTACTTTCATATCATTTGAATTTTTCCCAAAAGGGCAGAGAAAACAATCATTGGATTTCTGGATTCCTAGTGATTCATGATTAGGCTTCAGTGGTTCTATGAACTCTAAAATTCAAATAAAAAATGTATGTTTGTATTTCTATGGATGAGGCCAGAAAATCGTGGGATTTCAAAATCTTTCCTGATTTCAAAAGGAGTAGGAACCATTGATCTAAAGGGAGTACTGGGGGGAATATTGGACAAGATGTATTTTCGTGAGTTTTCTCTCCAAATTTCCGCAGCTTGCTTCAACAAGTGTTTATTTGTCATGCACTTTGCTTGTCAGCAGCTATGGCTATGTTGTTGCTGTGGGTCAGTGTCTTAGTCTGTTCTGGCTGCTGTAACATAGTGCCATACACAGGGTGGCTTATAAACAATAGACACCTATGTCTCACAATTCTGGAGCCTGAAAAGTCCAAGATCAAGGCGCTGGTGGGTTTAGTGTCTGGCTAGGACTTGTTCATATGAACCCATCCTGGTTTGTAAATGGTGCCTTCTCACTGTGTCCCCACATGGTAGAAGGGGGCAAGGAGTTTCTCTGGGGCTTCTTTTGTAAGGGCACTAATGTCATCCATTTAGGCTTCTGCTGTCATTACCTAATCACCTCTCCAAGGACCCACCTTCTAATACTGTCACCTTGAGGGTGAGGATTTCAACATAGCAATTTGGTGAAGACGCATATTCAGACCGTAGCAGCAGCTTCAGTCGGCTCCATGTATCTTCCTGTTCTGGAGCCCAGGTGGAAGGAGCAGCCCTTCTGTGGCCCATGCCCTTCCCATGGAGGGGACAGAGGACAGAGAACCCAAGTGGAAGTGTGTAATCCCATTTAGAGCTCCTGGATGCTTGTTACTTCCACTCACCCTTCACAGGCCCCAACAAGTCCTGGGCAAGCCAGATAAGGGGTGGGACGATGACCTTTCTACAGGGAGGCCCTTTGGGTTTCCTGTCAAAGGGTATGGATATGGTCTCCCCCTACAGTTGGGAAGCAGGTATTTTGGAAGAAATAGAAAATCAACCACACAGAGAAGACGTGCGAGTGCAGTGTCCCCAGATTAGGGGTGAGGACCATCCCTGATACTGTTTACCTTGAAGAGCCAGATTTCTGTGCTTGAGCCCTGGGGCTACATCCCAACTCTTGGCGAAATGTCTCTACTGTAAAGCCCTGCAGTTAAAACTAGAATCCTGTTGCCAAGAGCTGCTTTTCGTCCAGGCCTCCCTGTTTATGTTAATGACATACTCAGAGTCCCTGGTACCCAGATGGGTACATGAACTTGTTCTTATCCACCTATTCTTATCCACCGCATCCATTTAGCTCATTCCTCCCTGCACTCACTGCCTTCCAAACCACTAGACTCCTCTTCTAACCCTGCCACTGCCAACATAGATAAGACTTCTTCATCTTTTACCTGCTACCAGGTTAGTTATCTCAAACAGTTTCTAGAATCAAGCTTTTTGTGTATAAAAGAAATAAAACAAAGAAACAACAAAGTGCAGTCTTCTTAGCTTGACATATAAGACCTACTACAGTGTGAGTTAAACCTTCTCCTCACACCAATTTCTCATCCTTATCCTTCACATCTGCTATTCCAGGAACCTAACATTGGACTTCATTGTAGATCGAGGTATAATTAGAGGATGGGCTTTGGAGCCAGACTAGCCTGGGTTCAAGTCCCATTTCGGCCATTTACTAGCTGTGGGAACTGGTTGGCTTCATGTCTTGAAGTCTCAGTTTCCTAATCTGTAAAACAGTGGTGATAATTTCCATCTGTATGGACAGGATGTTGGAAAAATTAAATGAAAATATCATTTGTAAAATGCACAGCACAGTGACAGCAATTGTAATTTATCCATGCCTTGGGTTTATATTTGTTTACTAGGTCTGCACATCCTTCTCTATTAATATACCCCAAATCCTTCCCTTCCTTTACTACTCAGCTCAGAAGCAACCTCCTCCATGAATTCTAGACTGATTCCCATCTGAGAGTCAACAGAGTGGTGATTCAGACCATGGGCTATGGAGTCAGGCAGTCCTGAAATCAATCCCTTAACCACTGCCCCCAGCCACTTACTAGCTATAAGACCAAGGCAAGTCTTTTACCTTTTGAGCCTCTGTTTCCTTGAGAAGGATAATGAGAGTCCAGTTTTCTGTCATTTAATGGCGTGGATATCATTATTATTAGACAGCTTCATCATCATACAAACATCATAGCGTGTACTCACACAAAACTAGATGGAATAGCCTATTACACAGCTAGGCAATATGGTATAGCCTGTTGCTCCTAGGCTACAGACCTGTACACCATGTTATTTTATTGAATACTATAGGTAGTTGTATAATGGTAAGTATTTGTGAATCTAAACATTGAAGACTTATAGTAAAAATACAGTGTAAAAGATAAAAGGTTTATATCGGTATAGGGCACTTACCATGAATGGGACTTGCAGGACTGGAAGTAGTTTTGGCTGAATCCGTGAGTGAATATGAAGGCCTAGGACATTGCCGTACACTACTAAAGACTTTATAAACACTGTACACTTAAATGACACTAAATTTATATACAACTACTTTTCTTTCTTCAATAATAAACTAACTTTAGCTTATTGTGACTTCTCCATTTAAAAACCTTTTACTTTTTTTAACTTTTGACTTGTTTGTAACAACACAGCTTAAAACACAAACACGTTGTACAGCTGTAGAAAAATATTTAATCCTTATTCTATAAGCTTTTTTATTTTTAAAACTTTTTTTTTTAACTTTTGAAACTTTTTGTTTAAAATGAACACATGAACATAAGCATTAGCCTTGAGCTACTCAGGGCAGAATCAGCAGCATCACTGTCTTCCACCTCCATATCTTATCCTGCTGGAAGGCCTTGGGGACAGTAACAGGAATGGAACTGTCATCTCTTATGATAACAATGCCTTCTTCTGGAATACCTCCTGAAGAAACTGCCTGAGGCCGTTTTACAGTTAGCTTTTCTTTTTGTAAATAAGTAGGAGTGCACTCTACAATAATGATTAAAAGTACAGTATAGTAAGTACTAGGGCAGTAGGAATTCCTCAGCTCTATTGTAATCTTGTGAGATCACCATTGCATATGTGTTCAGTCATTGACCAAACTGTCACCATATGTGGCACATGGCCATACCTATATCATCTGATTATATGTAACAATTACATGTTCCAATGTCCAGCACTTAGAAAGTAAACACTCAGGAAATAGCAGCTCATATTTCTAATGTCTGCTTTTATTACTAATTATTACTAATATTCTGGTTTCCTCTCCTCCAGCCCATACCATGTTTACAGTAGTTCAGTTTTGAACCCAAGACATTTTCACTGGATGCTTTTTCTTCATGCTGGACACTACTCTGACCAAGGCCTGGAACAGGGCATTAGGCATTGGTCTTACTCAACGAACATTTTTTAAATTTAACTGATTTAGAGCATTCTGCAAGCCCCAAAACTTTCTTTGAGCCTCAGTTTTCTCACCTCGAGAAAGTCAAAGTGCTCCAAGATGTCACTAGAGAAATATTGCACAACTTCAGCTTTGGGTAAATTAATACTACATCGAGGTAGTAGTGGTGGCAATGAAGGGCAGAGCTTCAGAAGTTCTCAGATCATAAGTGCCTTCAACTCCTAGATCCTATCTTTGAAAATGCAGCTGTTACGTTGGCAGATAACATGTATCAATTAGTGCGTTGTAGGCACTGGTGTGAAAATACTTTTCATGTAGTGTCCGGTGAGATGTTCACAATATTTAGAGGCAGATTGTACCATTGCCATTTCATAAATAAGAAAATTAATGTTCAAAGAGGTGCTATAACTTCTCCAAGGTCACACAGTTATTCAGTGACAGAGCCGGGACTCAGCCTGTAGCTCCCAAACTCCAAGTCCAAATCTCTTTCTTTCTCCTGGGCGCTTAGGGTATCATGATGCAGGAAGGGATGGGGCCCTTGGGAAGATTCTCTACCATCCAAGGGATAGTCTTTGACTGCCAATTAATGTCAGCTTTTCATAATCCACTTTTGTCCCTCTAGGTTCTGAAGCTGCTGCTCGTGGCCTGGGATCGCCGCCTCATTTTTGCCATTGGCACCTCCAGCACCACGGGGGAGTCAGATACCGTCATCTGGAATGAGGTCCACCACAAGACAGAGTTTGGCTCTAATCTCACTGGCCATGGCTACCCAGATGCCAATTACCTGGATAATGTGCTGGCTGAACTGGCTGCCCAGGGCATCTCTGAGGACAGCACTGCCCAGGAGAAGGACTGAGGCCAGAAAAGCTTTGAGGTGGGAGGGGCCGTGGGGACTGCAGGACAGGAAGTGAGGAGAGTGAGTCAATGTAGAAGAAGTTGGTGTCCTGCCCTCCCAACTTTCTATCCTCCCCTCCTGCCCTGTGTCCACCCCTCATCCCTCCCAACCACAGCGGGAGCCAAACTGAATATAGCGACATCATTCATAAACCTTATCCAACACAAAGGGAGAGGGGATGAGGGCCACCCTGGGTCTGTTCCCATGGAGTTTTTGGTGCTGGGTAGGCAAGAATCCCCTCCCTACCCCACCTCCCAAGTAGGGGCATGGTCCACACACCTGGGGTATGGGCAGTGCCTGGGCACTCCATACCCTGGCTTTGGGAAGCCAGGGTTTCTTGCCTCAGCCGGCTTCTTGCTACTTCCACTCTGCTTTGAGAGTGGAGTTTCTGCTATTCTCCCTCTGCTGGAGCCAGGGAGCTCTCACTGTGCAAGGTTGGGGGGGCAAGGGGGTGAACCACTAAACTGCTGTGACATCAGAAACGGATGCCTTGGTGTAGAGCGAGGAAGCATTCCTTCTCAAGAGGGTCAGAGAAGGAAACGCCTCTGGGAGCACATTCCGCTCTCATCACAGTCCTTGGCTTCTCTGGGCCCTCCTCTCCTCCTCACAGCTCTGACCTGTCCAAAGAGGCATCTGGTTCTCTCATGTGGATGGATGGACTCTGGAGTTCCTCTTTGGGGTGGCATCCCATGATGCTGTTTCTAGCCCCTCTCTGATCAAACCAGAGCCTGCATCCCACTGAGCATCTGAACTGTCCTCAGGGAGAGGAGCCCACAGCCTTCTTCCCAACTCATTCTAGACCAGCTCAAAGATTCCATGAGTTTCATCAAGTCACTGTGAGTGGAGCCCATGCTGGGCTCTGTGCCCTCTGTGTCTGTGCATGCGTGTGTGTGTGGGGTGGGGGAGGGGGCGTGTGTGCATCGCTGGGCCAGCTTGATGGGAAGGCCCGTCATGTCCCTGCACTCTGTTTTGCAAGATGCCAAACCCCAGTTCTGATGGGGCTCCAACAGCCAGGCTGTGGTCCTTTGATGTTCCTCACCTGTTGCCAACCTATCCCACAGAGAACTGAAACCCCAGTGGAGACAGAACTGTGCCTGGGGAGATGCAATGAGGTGAGGGTTGGACTCATCCTTTTATATTTCTTTTCGAGATTGTAGCAGAGCTCATCTCCATCCAGTCTTGTTTCTATGAAGGCTTCAATCTGTTTCCATGCAAATTTGCTCATCAGAGCCCAGAGCTGCTGGGTCCCTCATCTCCTTCATCTATTATAGATTGACTTAGAGCAGGGAGAGAACCTCTTTAGCTCATTCCTAATGGGGTTGGGACCACGGTATGGTCTGGTCCAATCTGCATCTTGGTTGTGTCCCAAGACCCTGTCTCCTCCCCAACATTCTTATTGCCTTTGGCTCCCAGTAAGGAATGAATTGGGGGCCAGGGAGGAGAAAAGGGGGGATCAAGAAGGGAAACCGAATTCCCCCTTTGAAAGTGGGTTCTTTGAACTATGTGTTTGGGGGAAGTTCCTCTGGATACTAATTTGTATTTATATACCTCATGTTTTGGGGGTTTGACGTATATATATATGCATATATATTTCATAATATTTGGAAGGTTTTTGATGCTAGAAAAATGGAAACAAGAAAACCTTCAAAAATGGTACTTTGATGGGAACCGGAGGCCAGGCTTTCATAAAAGCCAGCCCCATAGCTGCTTGCTGTTAGGCCTCCAGCCATTTTGACGTGGGTGTGGATAGTCGATTCACCTGCCTGTCACCCAGTTCTGTGGATGTGCTGGTGCTGAGCCTTTGCTCTCTTTCCAAATGGCTACAGGGATGTTGATCAGCTCCACCAGAGGGAGCTCTGATGGGAGGAATTGTTCTGCCATCCTTGTCCCCGTGTCTCCTGTCAGCAGGCAGCCATTATATCTCACCAGCAGACCAGCAGACTGGTCCCGAGCTTACTGCACCACAGGGCAATTTCCTGCCAGAGTCAGGAAGGAAACCCCTGAACTAAATGGAAGAGACATCCCTGCGGTGTTTAATGTCACACCCATGCCCTTTGTCGAGTTACCATGTGCCAGAGGTTACTTGGAGAGCCTCATGCTGTCTCTGCCTTCAGCACACTGGTCAAGTATCTGCTGAGCTTCTTGGCTGCAAGGGTGCAGAAATAGGCTGAGGGTTCTTGGGAAGAAAGACATGATGAAGCAGTAGGAGGTGGGGAAGAAAAGAAGACAGACTTTCACAATGGAATTAGGCAGTGGGGAGAGATCCGTTTTCCCACATCAGGGAGGAGAAGGTATAGGTGGGGAAGGGGGTGGCCAGGAGGAGAAGGAAGAGGACTCAAGATGGAAAGGGAGCCGCTGTGCATGTGGCAATACCACTTGGAGAGGTCGTCTTCATACCTTCAAGCCTTTTCCCCTGGGCTTTTGATTATGTCTGTGCCCAATTTCTTGTCCTCTCTGCAGATGCCCAGTAGGGGCTACCTCATTCTCGTTCTTTTCTTGCGTGGCTTTCTGGGCAGTAGGGATCTTGAATTTCCTTTCTAACACTGTGCCAGGCAAGGCAGGGAGCATTCCTCTGCCCTTTCTCTTGTGCCAACCTGGTAAGGTGCGGTCTAGATTTCAGCGAGAACCCTGCCAGCCGAGCCCTGTGCATCCACTACCTTAACACAAAGTGTTTTCCCACCAGAAGCCCTGCTGTGCTCTCCTGGCCCAAGTAGGGGATTCCATGCCTTCCCTTTCATGCTCTTAGCGCCAGCAGCCTAGTTTCTCCCTTCCAGAGTCTCCTGGGATGACAAATTGGATTGGAGACAAACCTCATCGGATGCTCATCCCCTAAAAGGTTAAGTGTGTATTTGTGGCTGCGTGTGCCTTTGTGTTTTCATTCTCTTTCCATTTTTGTAAAATTGGGTCGTCTCTATGGTCTTATACTTGGTCAAAAGTACTCATCTTAGTATTGTACTGTTGTATGCATGAGAAAACTGGGGGAAGGCTCATGTGGTACAAGAAAGGACGCCTGACCCATTTCCTTCTCTGTGGTCCCCGGCATTAGATTGGGGGTTCTGGGAGAGGCAGGTGAATGTCCTAAGTGAATTGTTCTGTTTGTAACTGGAGTGTTTTTGAAGTCTTTGGTGTTGCTCTGTGAGAGGACATCGCCACCTGGTGCTCATGAGGTGTCTGTGCAGAACAATAAATGGCAAATGAACAACCACAAAATTGTTGCTGTTGTTGGCCTTCTGCTTTTTGTAGATTAGTGCACCTATCTGTGAGGGATTTGGGTTCCCTCCCTGAGTCTGTAAGCAACCACAAGCCCTTCCACTGGATGGGGGAAGCCCCTCCCCCACCACTTAAAAACAAATTTTCCACATATTACCCACCCACACATTTGACCTGGCTAGACTCTTCGTGAGACTAAAGGAACAGATCACATGGCCGGGAAAATGAGTAAGTGAACGTGTGGGAGAAAAAAAACACTTTTGAAATCACGAATATTCACTTTTAAAGGTCCCTTTGCCTGACTACAATATAGTATGTGTTTAAATGGTTTACAGGCTGTTGTTTCTCAAATAAATGTTTGATATTAATCATCCCCAAACTGACAAGAACACAAAAATAAAATGCAAATGCAGAGCCACCTTCGTCACCCAAATCTGTGTCTATTTCTGATAGTCCATGGGATGAGGTTTTCTTGAAAGCCAGGGTTGGTCTCCCCACAGACCCCAGCCTAAGACCACCAGTTAGGAACCCAGGACTTGGAAGGCAGAGCCTGTGAGCTCTTCCATCTGGGATCTGACTCTGCAAAATGATTTGATGAATGCAACCGGCAAACTCCCATGTTCTAACTTCACATGCATGAGCTGTTGGACAGAGAGTTCCTTAGTACATATTTTAATGTATTTTATGTGCAATCTTGTTGGTAGGAATACAGGTTTGTAAGGAACTTTTCATTTCAATACACGGTTAGCGCATTAAAAGCCTGGGAATTTGGGGCTATATTTTTCCTTTCTGACTCAATAATCTTCAAAGAATTCATAGGAAGTCAGTATTTGCAGACAAGTGGTTAACTTGGCTAAAATGTACAAAACACCCAGAACCCACAAAACACTCAGAGGTTTAGGAGAATGTTTTAATGCTTAAGAGGCAGGATTAAGTGAAGACATTAAAGAAATCAGTGTCCCTGGCTGGGCAGTCAAGAGAGCAGGGCTCAAATTCTGTGACTCACTTCTCTGTATCTCAGTTGGAAATGAATGGGGATCCTGGTTCCCACCTTCCCACACGCTGTGATGCTTCAAACTCCTTGGTGAAGGGCCTCTTCTCAGCCCAAGATTTTGATTGTGAACATTAACAAAGAGAACAGTCATCCTCCACAGAAGATAACTCATTAATGACATTTGATTCAGTGAATAAATGTATTATTTTAAAAAATATTGTAGGGGACCATGAAAGTAGTGGAGGTAATTGCAATCAGGAGAGATTGGTATTAAAATTGAGCAAAGTCCCAACTATTGCCAGATGACAATTATGCATCCTGCTAGATGCCCCAGGGCTCTCAGCCTGGAACTGAAATAAATGGGTTACAAGTGGTGCTGGATGCCTTTTTCAGTTCATTTGAAAACATGGATTTGATCATGTCAGCTCCCTTTCTGCTGGAAAAAAAAGTAGCTTGCATAATTGGTGTTAACTACTCTGTTTTGATTCTACAGAGTAATACTTAAATGTGGTCTTACTTTAACTTCTTGCCTGTTTTACCCCCAGAACAATGCAGACTTACTGAAATGTGGAGTGTGTGTGTGTGTGTGTGTGTGCTCATATAACAGGAGGACAGGAATAGTAAGGACCTGGAACAATGCAGACTTATTGAAATGTGGGGTGTTTGTGTGTGTGTGTGTGTGTGCACATGTGTGTGTGTTCATATAATGGACAAGCAAGGTAAGGACCTAGAACAATGCAGAATTACTGAAATGTGGGGTGCATGTGTGTGTGTATGTGTGTGTGTGTTCATGTGTGTGTATGTGTGTGTGTGTTCATGTAACAGGAGGACAGGAAAGGTCATGACCATCCGTGGAAGATGAAGCGGTAGTACTCAGCACCAGAATTTTTTCAGTTTTTACCCATCTTTCATTACACCTTGTCTCCAAATCATCCCTTCCTCTTTGACCCACTAATAGTTTACAAGTTAAAATATTTTCTGAGGACTTGATGACACCAGTCAGAAGTCCAAGAGTGGTCTGGTGTAAGGGAGTGTTCATCAAGGGGCAGCTGGAAAAAGTGGAATCGGCACAGGCAACATCTTTCTTTTCAGATGTTTGAGGTGGCTCCGAGTAGATAACAGTCTGTCAACATAGAGCCCTCACAGTTAAAAAGCAGTAACCAAGCAAGACTTGTGTCTTTTCGGGACTCTTCTGGGCTCTAAGAGTGTGAAATTCAGACAGCTTTTTAAAAATCAAAATAAAGGAAGGGTAGTTGTTACAGGCAGAAACTCTTAGAGCTCACAAATTGGAAACAACTGCAAACTTCAGAGTAAATTCATGGCTTCCAAATCCAAATGTTAGCATTCTCCCTCCTCTATTTTTACACAAATGCATTCAGGTGAAGACAGCGACACACACTGGGAAAGGGCATCTGCTTTCTATTTTAGTCCCAGAATGGCTTTTCTTCTACTCCCAACTGTTCCCTCTCCCCAATCCCACCCTTATCCATGTAACAGTGTGAATTTTCTGGCCCAGAGACTTAAACAAGAAGTCACAAATATGCCTACTTTTGGTTGCACGTGCCATTTCAATGTTTAGGAAAACAGAGTGGTCAGCAGTGACCACACTGGAGATGAGAGAAACCATTTTCAGGGAGAGATTTAAGCTGAACTCTGTCCCTGCTCTTCGTGAGGCGTGTCTCCAGTTGCTGCAGTGCCTGGAACCAAACTCTGCCTTTCCCCAATTTCCTGATATGCTTTCTTCTTGAACTTCCGGGTGCCGTAGATGGCCAGGGTGATAGCAAGAGCCAGAATGGTGGTGACCCCCACTGTGATCCCAGCTGCAGCCCCTCCTGACAGACCACCACCATCCCCATGGATGACATTCATGGCCCTCCGCAGCTCTACCAGCTCTCCCAGCCTCCACTGGTGGGTCTGGGAGTCTTTAATCCAGGATCTCGCATTCTCAGAATTGGTCACTATGACAGTATTGGTGGCAGCCTGACTCATGAGGGGTGGCCGGGTGAAAGGTGGGAGCCTGGCAGGGGGCAGGGACCCTCCTGTAAAAAGCCCGGATTTGACACAGTAGGACACTTGGCATCCGTCGCTGATGAGGGCTAGGTGCTGGCTGAAGCCCCCAGGGCACTTTTTCAGAGATGGTGCCTCTAAATCTCTGGATATAGCAGGATCTACCAGGGGGTTCCCAACTGCGCAGCTAAAGAACCCACCAAAGGGGACCGCAAACCTGCTTCCCAACTCATAGTCCTGAGAAACACATACCTTGAGGTTTTCAAAGAGTCTCAGTGGAAAGTAGCCGGCTGGGCATGACTGTGCATTTGTCATGGGGTTTATGCTCTTGCTGCTGAAGAGGCCTCCGAAAAGCAGTACTGAGTTCTCAGGTACTTGGCTACTGGCCACACACCAAAAAGCCCTGAATTCAGCCTTTGCCACCTGGAACACATCTTCACATATGGTCTTGCAGAAAACGAGGAGAGTGCACTTTCGATGACACTCCAGGTGGTTGTAACCCTCCTCGTGGATCTGGGATACCAAGTGCACCGGGGAGTAGCCAGAGGGGCAAGAGAAATCACCAGTGAGTGGATTCTTCTGCTCCAACTTTTGGCAGAGGAGGACATCCCTACTCCCTGAGAGCTGAGTGCATTCCTGATAAACCCCACCAAGAGAGAAGTTGGTCATTTTCCCTTCGCAGGAGCCATCATCCATGTTGGCCTGAAAATTGAAGTTGGGAGAATGGAGATCGGTGCAGCCAGGGTAGGTGTTGAATGTGTAATAGCGCTTCACAGCAGTTTCCACCGTCTTTGACACCTTCCTCACCAGGGGGCCTGGCAAGTCAGGCAGCATGTTGGGGTTGACGAAGAAATGCAGTGGCAGGCCAGAGCGGTCGATGGCCACCAGGTGGTTGGTGATACCCTGCTGCCAGACCTGGAGGGTGATGCCTGGGTAAAAAGGAATCCCTCCGATGCTCTGCACCCTGGAGTTGGTTCGGTTTGAGAGGTAGCTCTTGGTGAGGACATTCTGCAACGTATAGTTTTCCTCAAATTTGAAGTTCACGGTGTTTTGGAAGGCAAGTCCAGCAGAGGCGGTCACGGCACTACGACTGCTCTGGCTGTCTTGGAGAAAGGAGGTCTTGATGTGGTCCTCCTGAATAAGAGCAGCCCCAGCGTCGACACTGGTGATGACATGGGTGCCGTAGTTGAGGACCAGGAGTTCTGCCAGGTAGGTAGCCATCCTCGTCTGGTTGTTCTCTAGACAGTCAGAGATGTCAAGGAGCTCCTTCCTGAAACCTGAGCTTAGCTCTACGGTTGGGTTGATTTTGACTGTGTAGACGAGGTTTCTTACCTGAACTCGGGTAGTTATAGCTTGGTCTTTCACTTGGAGGGTCTTCATCCTCCGGAACTCAGTGGAAAACTTGCCATTGACTTTGGAAAAAAGAGAGAGATCTGTGTTGATGGAGTAGGAGGTGCTGCTCTGGTAATTCGCCCAAGATTCCAGGATTTCTGAGTTCATCTCCAGGTTGCTCTGTTTCTGGGGAATGGTGAAGATTTCATCAGGGGTGATATACTGTCCATCCTCAGTTGTCCTGCAGTTGGTGTAAGTCAATTCCATAACCCGTCCCATGTCCACATTACGCAGATTGTCCCAGCCCCCTCCAGGTAGGACTTCCAGGACAGGCAGTTTCAAGGCATTTTTGCATTTTTGAACTCCAGCTTCATCTGTCTGTCCCAAAGGCTTGCCTGATGTAGCCCATGCTGCCACTGCCCAGAAGAGGATGGTGGCCCTGAAGCTGTTCATGGCTCAGACAGCCCCGGCCACTCGCCAGCCCTACACAGCGGCCAGCAAGCTTTGGGCAACCTAAAATGGAGAAAACAAAAGCAGATGATGAAGCAGAAAACTCATCAGTTCTCTAAAAGCTACCAGTTCCTCTTTAAGTTAATTTCTTACAAAATGGGGAAACGAGAGTTGGTTGGAATACTAAAGACCGTCAGTTCTTTGAAGAATTTATGCCATACTGAACATGCAAACACAGCCCTACATGCGTAACAGTTAACTATCCTAATTTTCCCCCAGCCCTGACTGGTTACTCTGCTGCAGGGGCGTGCACTTAGAAAAAAAATCCTGACCCCACACCCTACTGCTTCCTCCGCCAGAAAGTTTGGCTTTCCTTTTTGCTAACTCTCTTAGACTTGAGGTTTCATATTTTTCCTGACTGCTGTCTCTTGGAACTCCAATACCAGTTTCCTTTTACTGTATATGCAGAGGCAAATGACCACACCACCCTGAGTGAAACACCCTGGCTCCACCATACCTGTGCAAGCTGTTAGTCAAGGCCAACCCTGGGGTTCCTCTTTGCCTGAGGGTGGAGGCTGTTTCCACAAAAGAAATGAGTGAAACTCTTGGACACTTGTCCTGTGGGTTTCACTGTTATGAACCATAACAGTTCTGTGTTAGGGGATGGCATTGTCTGGAGCAGAGCTGACGGGGCCTGAAGAGGATTCGGTTGCAATATGCTGGGAAACCCCAATTTGCATTGTCCTAAGTATTCAGAATGAGGGCAAGGAACCCCTACAGTGTGTTGTTTTCATTCAGATAGAAATGTTCAAGACAAAACCACACTATAATCTATATTTTGATTTGCCAACAGCAGGCAGGGGCCAAGGAACACATGTGTATGTCTACACACATTTATATATCCTCTGCGTGTGTGCATTTTACATGAAGTTGGTACCTGTTATACCTTTAATTTTTCATTCCATTGCTAAGTGTGTGTAATCAGTTTAGGTGCATAAAAAAGAATGTGGCTCCTCATTATCCAATATTTTTTCTAAAAGCAACAATTCATTTGCTATATCATTAGGAGAATATAATTACATCAGCTTCTTTTCAAGTTCCAATGCCAACTCTATTACAGCCCATAATTTAAAACGATGGTGCCAGGTTTGGTTGAAACCCAACTCTGTTAATTCTTTGGGATAATTAGGCTGTGTCTTAGTATGCTTAGTGGTAGCCAGGGAATCCAGAGGATTTAATGAAGCTCCCAATCGCATCCTTAACATTCCGAAGATTATACCATGAATTAGATACAATACTGAGACTGAAAAAGTCATGTTGCAAATCACAGGTATCACTACACCATCACCTGTATGCATCCTGAAGGAAGGTTCCAAGGAATTGAATTTCTTTGTTGGTTATTAATGCAGCTAAGAAGTGTTTTTAGAAAGAATGAGGCTAGTTACCTTCTGGTAACTGGCTGGGCTTCACCAGTTATTATCAAAACCATGATAGTGTTCTGTAAATCTAGAAATACTGCATTCTGGGTCTATTTTTTTTCCAAGACAGGGTCTTGCTTATTGCCCAGGCTTGAGTGCAGTAGCTATTCACAGACATGGTCCCACGGCTAATCAGCATGGGAGTTTTGACCTGCTCCGTTTCCAACCTGGACCCGTTTACCCCTCCTTAGGCAACCTGGTGATTTGCTCCAAGGAGGTCACCATATTGATGCTGAACTTAGTGCAGACAACCAACTGGCATAGCACACTACAGCCCAGAACTCATGGATTCAAGCAATCCTCCCACATCAGCCTCCCAGGAATCTGGGACTGCAGTCATGCACCACCACACCTGGCCATTCTGGGTCTATTTGTGCCACAGTTAACATGCTTCTGGAAACTGACACCAGCCACCCAAGAGGGATTAATTTATGAACCAGTGCCCAGTCTATATCTGACTAGAGAACCAAACCTTTGCACAGGATGTTCTAGTTAATTTATAAATCAGTTAGCTATAAATTTATACCTCAGCAGCATGATCCCAGAATTAGAAAAGTGAGAGTTGAATGCCCTTGAGTACTTCCAATGAGTCTGTTGAAATACCTACATACTTCTCTTAAAACTATTTCTAGAATGGTTCATCAAAATTAGAATACTCTCACACTGCTTTGGAGACAAGCTGACAATTTGTTACCCTCTCCTTTCTCTTTAGTAGACCCTGTTGAGAGTTCACTCTCCTGAAATGAGAATACAAACAAGGTTGATACAGACAATTCTATATTCAGGTGTCCCTGTGTCTCCAGACGTCCAGTCACTTTATTTTTTATTTCTTCTACAGCTTTTGTCTTCATTTTATCATAGGAAAAAAAAATTGAAAATAGCGGAAAGGGCCAACAAGGGTAAAATTACATTGTACCCATAAGACAAAATATTTTGTAGCCATCACAATTATTTAAAACAATTTTAATAACATGAGAAATGCTTATGCCATAATGTTACTGGAAAGGGTTTCCAATGTAGACCTCAAGACAGAGTTCTTGGACTTTGTGCAAGAAGGAATTCAGGGCAAGTCCACAGAGTAAAGTGGAAGTAAGTTTATTAGAGAAGTAAAGAAACAAAAGAATGGCTACTGCATAGGCAGAGCAGAAGTATGTGCTGCTTGACTAAGGATACTTATTGTTATTTCTTGATTATATGCTAAACAAGGGGTGGATTAATCATGAGTTTTCTGGGAAAGAGTTGGGCAATTCTCAGAACTGAGGGTTCCTCTCCTTTTTAGACTATACAGGGTAACTTCGGGAAATTGGCAGTCATGGCACTGGTGGAAATATCTTTTAGCATGCGAATGCACTATAATTAGCATATAATGAACAATGAGGATGACCAGAGTTCACTCTTGTCGCCGTCTTAGTTTTGGTGGGTGTTGGCTGCCTTCTTTACTGCATACTGTTTTATCAGCCAGCTCTTTGTCATCTGTATCTGTATCTTCTGCGACCTTCTATCTCATCCCGTGACTTAGAATACCTAACTCTCTGGGAATTCAGCCCAGCAGATCTCAGCCTTCTTTTACCCAGCCCTTATTCGAGATGGAGTTATTCTGGTTCAAATACCTCTGACAATAATGTTATGAAAAAAAAGAAAAACATTCAGCATGACCCCAACTATGTACATAACTAGAGGGATGTATGCCAATGCATAGACAGTAATTACATCTGGTTGGGAGGTTTTTCTAAATTATTTTAATTTTTTCCTCTTTTCTGTGTTTTTAGAGTTTTCAACAATGAACAGGTATTTATTAACTTGAGAAATTTGTATTCAGAGCCTATTAAGTACCCAACAATGATAGGTGTTGGGTAATCATCACTTTTGTGCTCAGGAAAATAACCAATGCACACCCATGTAAAAAAAAAAAAAAAAAAAAAGGGAAAGAAAAGAAACAGGCCAGGCAGGGTGGCTCATACCTGTAATCCTAGCACTTTGGAAATCTGAGGTAGATGGATCACTTGAGGTTGGGAGTTCAAGACCAGCCTGGCTAACATGGAGAAACCACACCTTTACTAAAAATACAAAAAAAAAAAAAAAAAAAATTAGCCAGATGTGGTGATGGCACATACTTGTAATCCCAGCTACTCGGGAGGCTGAGAGAGGAGAATTGCTTGAACCCAAGAGGCTGAGGTTGCAGTGAGCTGAGATCGCACCACTGCACTCCAGCCTGCGGAACAGAGTGAGACTGTCAAAAAAAAAATTATTTCTGGAATTTTTATATGCTTGAAATGACCCAAAGCCTATGGATTCTGTGACTGCTGTGCTCAAGGAAGTTCTCTTTCCAATTCTCTGGGAAACAGTGAAAAGAGAAGTGCAAATGATGGGAAATTTGGCTTAACTTAATTTTACATACCAGGAGCAGCAGAACTGCTCATAACAGTCACATATGAGGAAGTGGTGACCAGTGCGTTTTACCCACACATTTTCTGGTTTATTCTGTTCACCAGAAATTTCCTTTGCTTTTTCTTATGCTAGAATGCACATGCAGTCACATAGCCTCCCCAGATGGCCACACTTGAGGAGTAATGGCCTGTGGCTAACACTGATCTTTGATCTCTAAAAGAGGCATCTTGTCCACAAAACCTTTGCATCTGCATTGCTGAAAGGCGATTTCACTTCCTCCAAAACGAGGCAAGAAGGAAGTCCCACATCTGCTTTCTTTCTCTGTTTGATCCCGTGCAACCTTCTGACACCATCTTGTTCAGAGCCAAAGCATGATTCATGTCTGAGGTTCACTCCTGTGTGGGCTTGGAACTAGTCCAGGTGTTTGCTACTTCTGCATTTCACCTGTGATCTCAAATGGGGAGGAAAGTCTAGTTGCATTTGCTGGGACAATTCCCTTTCAGCAGGAATCTAGGAGAACAGTGTGGAAACTGATAGTTAAATAATCACTAAGTAGATCGGAGAACTATGGCTTTTATAGACTTTGGAGTGAACTTTGTTATGGAAAATCTGGAAGGTCTCAGTGAACAAAATGGCAGTATTTTCCTTCTGAACAACTGATTCCTAACCTGATGTTTTAAGAGTTGCGTTGTCAGCTTCTTCCCCTCAGAGGCTCTTTCTACCAGGGTCATTTGGGTACTGACCACAAAACTAAGAACATAGTGATTTCATGACCCCGTGTAATCTGGAGGGTGAAAACAGAAGGCCCATGTGAAATGTTGCATATTCCCATTAAAAGCTAGGCCAGAATTTGATGGCCTAAGCCATTTCATTTCTGTTCTCTATTAGCACTCTTTTTCTTCCTCTCTCTTCCATTTTCCTTGATCCATTTTCCTATATTCAGTTATTCCCTTTCTGCTCTTTTTTTTTTTCCTCTTTGGCATTTGCAAATTTAGATTTGGAGGACACATATCAGTGTGGTACTTCCACGGGACTAAAGAGGAGCTGGTTTGAGGGTGTGAGCCTATAGTCTCAGCTATTCAAGAAGCTGAAGCAGGAGGATCCCTTGAGCCCAGGAGTTCATGGCCAGCCTGGCTAACATAGTGAGACACTGGAAAAAAAAAAAAAAAAGCAAGAAAGCAAGAAGAAAGGAAGGAAGGAAGGAAGGAAGGAAGGAAGGAAGGAAGGAAGGAAGGAAGGAAGGAAGGAAGGGAGAGAGGGAAGGAGGAAGAAAAAAGAAAAGAAAAGAAAGAAAGAAAAAAA